TCTGTTAGCATGCAGCACGCGGAAACCCTAAATCATGTGTCATCCCACATGTCCAGTTCAGCATCCTCGGAGTAGCATCCATGTGGCCATCGAGGGCGTTCTAAGACACACACCAAACCGAAGCATAATGTGAGGCGTGTTGGAGGTCAGTTCTCATCCTCATACCTAAACAGGCGTTAGATATCGATTAGATGCTTATTCAGCGACAGCCTCCAACTTTCGTTCCTCCTCTAGAGTCACTATATCTCTCCCTCTCCCAGCCCTCTCCATGTCCGAGCCCTCTCCCCTCTCCCTCTCCCTCTCCCTCTCCCTCTCCCTCTCCCTCTCCCTCTCCCTTCCTCTCCCTCCATCCCTAGCACTCCACCTTCCTCCCGTCTGTCCCCATCTCAAATCTCCAGTGATCACACACCGAGCAGGCGCTGGATTACGAGGAGAAGCTGCAGAACGATCCTCATTCCATCAACGTTTCCCACGTGATTCACTTGCTCCTCCCTTCCTTGCTGACTTTCTGCTCTCCAGATGCTCGACGTCTTCGGTGTGGCGCAGCCTGCTGCAGAGATGGAGGGACCTGAAGTGGAGGAGGGAGGAGGAGGAGGAGGAGGAGAACGAAGACTTGAGGAGGTGGTGGACGAAGACGTACAGTCGGAGGCGTCAGATCAGATGGCGAGCGCATGACGCAGACTTGTTTTGAGAGATTCATACAAAGAGAGATTTGTACAAAAATGAAGAGAGCAGAGAACAAAAGAACGAGAGGGTAGAGGGCAGAGGGGATGGAGCAAAGAAGAAAGAGGAGAACATGAACAGGAGCAACTCTGAAGTCAACGGCTGGTTGTTCACTTCAATCTTCACTGCCGCTCCATAACCTCAGGTCCCGATAAACTGTAGAAGCGCAATCGAAGAAAGATCCGTCAGATCGCCAAACTCTCAACGTCATGCAAACAGTCACCGTCTGCAGAAGATCGTAGGCCGTGGTTGACCAACTCCCGAGCGCTTGACTCTGCAAGGTGATGAATTTCTCGACGAGCTGTTTTTCGGATTGAGACGTGCCCAGCCGCTCCTCCAGCTGAAATCGACGTCACGGGGAGCACAAGGGGACAAGTCAAGGACCTCGAGCACCTCCCGCTGGCTCAGACACTGCAGGCTCGAACCAAGTCTGGTGTCTGAAAACTTCAAGACAACGGTCAGGAGGAGGAGGAGGAGGAGGAGGAGGAGGAGGAGGAGGAGGAGGAGGAGGAGGAGGAGGAGGAGGAGGAGGAGGAGGAGGTACTAGTGGTGGTGGTGGTGATGGAGGAGGAGGATGGGGGCAGGGGGGGGGGGGAGAAGCGGGGGAAAGAGGAGGAAGAAGAGCTACCAGCATCCCCTTGGCCAAAGACGTTAACCTCTTGCCATTTTTGCGAAGACTCTGCAGCCCCTGAATGCACAGGGAGATGTAGGAAAGAAAGTTCGCACTCAGCTCTCCTCCCATGGTCTGAGGTTGAGGTTGTCATCGAACACGTCGAGCACAAGCACAAGTACAGTTACAGTTACAAGTACAAGAAAGATGTCAACAACCACACATCATCATCAGGAACATAATCGTAAATTTTCTTTCTTCTTCTTCACCACCACCATAACCACCACCACAACCACCGCCGCCGCCACCACCATATCCATAATCATGATCATGATTATGATTGCCTCCATCATCATCATCATCATCATCATCATCATCATCATCATCATCATCATCATCATCATGACAGAAGTTTCTGACCTCCACATGGTCCCGAGTCAGCTTGAACGGAGCGCGTTCAACCTCAACGACGCCATTCATGTACTTCCCCATCATGTAACCGTAGTCAACATGTACGATTCCCCCATCCCTCTGCAACAGAATGTTTCCATCGTGCCGATCTTTGACCTGGAGGTCAAACTTCCATCAGGGGAGGAGGACGTCCACCAGCTTCGTTACCTTGAGGATGTAGCAGATAACAGAATATGCTGCCATGCTCCTGACGAAGTTTTGCTGAGCGTTGATGCGGGAGAGAGTCCCTTCTTCCCCGAAAGCCTCACGGTAGAAGTTTGCAAGGGATGTGTACTTGCTGTACTTGCGACGGACAGCAGCAAGGGAGACCGTGTCCGGGATCATCTCCATCAGCCCCGAGTTCTCCGACACAGAGACGATCTTGTAAGGTTTCAGACGAAGATGTAGTTTATCTTCCTCCCAGATCTCCTTGATCTCTTCAATCATCTGCATTGCAAATTGCTGCAGCGCAGCATCAACAACGTGGGGCATCGGAAGATGAACAAAACCTCTTGCCGAAGATCATCTCCTGACTTGACGATAACAGCCTGTCAACCTCACAGTCACTTGTTGCATGCACATGATGGGAAAAAGTTGAAAAGCAACGCATTACATGCAGTGACCAGGACGGATGTCTTCCAAGACGCGACTGCCTCCTCATCTTGAGCTTCTTCAACGCCCAAGGTTCTCCGAAGACCTCATCGAGCAGCAGCGAGTTGGTGCCGTCACTACCCACCGCAAGCACGGACATGCTCTGATGTGCATCGCTCAGATCTGCAGTGGGGACCACATCTTCCGTTGACGACTCGACAGACTCTCTGGCCTGGTCAAGTTCCAACTGTTGAATGAAGGCAAGCGCATCTGGATCGCCGCCGAACATGGCACAACAATCGCCGAGAGCAATCCCAGAGTCGACGGTCTCGATGAAGAGAGCGTACGGCGCCCTCTCGTAGGTAGAAAAGCAAGAGGCTTCCTCGGGGAAGATGCTCATGACCGCGCTGAAACTTGCCCCCGACGAACAGAGCGGGAAGAACGCTCCTGTCGGCAGCCGGTCCTGAATGGATCGCAGAAGCTCTTGTAGCTTCAGTGGCCTGGCGTCCTTTGGGATTCCTGCGAGGTTGGAGGAGACAGCACACAGCTCGCTGACAAACCTTCTCATCTCATTTGCCAGGTTCATCCTCCTTGTCCTCTCCAGAGCTTCAGCAGCAGAAGGGTCTGACATAGGCCGCGCTGCTGCTGCATGACTTTGCTCTGGCTGCTGGCCTTGCTCTGATTGATCTTCACCATCCTCTCTCGTAGATTCGGTTTCCTTCATGTCTGTTTCGCCGGAGACAACTTCGCTGTTCGGTCTCACTTGTCCTGCTTGCAAGGAGCCGATGCGCTTGCCGGTGAAGCAAACATTCTCGGCATGGATGCGAAACAGGCGATAAGAATCTTGAAGCCTCTCACGTGATGACTTGTCTGTAACGGCTGAAAAGATAAAACTGCCTTCTCTCGCTCCATACGATTTGGAGCAAGACTCCAGGGACCAACATAGTAGACAGGCGAACAGGACGTTCGACGATGCTTTCCACAGCAACCAATCCTCTAGCGCATTCACCAGGTCCTTGTTCTGACTGTTTAACTTTGCATCGACAACCAAGTTACAGAACTGAGGGAGCAGTCTATCAAACAACGACGTGTCCAGGTTGTACAACTCCACAAAACGATCATGTAGATTCTGCCGCTGAGGTGACATTAAGGATCGTTTCTTCAGCTGCTCACAAGTTTCCCACACGTCGAACTTTTCGATATCAGACAGAGCAAGCTCTACATCTTGAATATTAACTTCGTTCGTTGCTTCAGGTCCAACACCAACCTTACATTCGTTTCCCTCCATTGCAACCAGTTCGCTCCTCTTGGCAAGGAAGGGCTCTAGGCGATCCCGCCACCATCTCGCTTCCTCGTGCGATGTTGCTCTGAAGCACAGTTCACACTCAAAGTCGACATGATCTTGCTCAGAAGCACCCGCCTTGCTCGAGGCAGAGAAGTAAGACTGGAAGGGAATCAACCCAGCAACCCACCACCTCCCCCTCCTCGAGACTTCTTGAGCACTCGATCCCTCCATCAGGTTCGAAGGGCGATCTCTGACCTCCTTCAAGTAGAAATCCTTCAGCCCGCATTTCTCTCCCTCACCGCCGGCATACTCGAACACATACTTGCTCAGATCAATCTCGATATTTGGCTCTGGCTTGGACTCATACTCATACAGCGACAGGAGTCCGTCAGACAGCCTGCAGACGAAGAGCGCCCAGTCATGCTGGATGACTGCTCCTTGAGTAGCGGTTGTTCGGCGAAGTAGAAGCTTTCCATCAGCTGATATCACATCTTCAGCTGCTCCCGCCGCCTGCTGTCCAGACAAAGGAACAATCTGGTTCTTAGTTCGGGACAGGTTCGACAGATGTTTCAAAGAGGATGGGAACGACGAGATAGTCCGGAGAACAGCTTCAAGCTCTTCGTCATACCCAATACTGGCAACCCTCTCCTTCAGTTCCTCGGGAGATTCTTTACCAGTAATCTCATTCAGAGCTTCTTTCTTCTTGTTTATCCAAGCTTCAAACGAGTGCAGGATATCATCGAGCTCCTGCCTAGATTCCTCCACCGCCTTCACCACAGCATCCTGGCTCATCGTGCCTCACCTAAAGAAAAGACCCGCGATACCTTGATACAACTCTGGCGCTATACTGAACAACTTTCCATCTTGAAAAATACTGGCTGCATCTTCATGCTCTGTTAGTTGCGAGCTAGCCACATGGATAAGTCTTGCCCTGGGCTAAGAAACCTAGCACGAGAAGGAGGTTTCAGCCTCCTGTCTCCATGTCACCTCTCTCGTCCTGCGTCCCCTCCCCACTCTCCGCCTTGCTCACCATTGGCTCCCGACTTTGTCGATTTGTTTAGAGTTCTCTGTTTAGAGTAGTCTTGGTAGGAGGGGGGTGGGTCCATTTGAGCGGGGTACTGGCAGAAGGATAGTCATATCAAAAGGCACAATGACGGGTACTTTTGACTCTGACACACGGGTACATCAGACAGTGTAGGGGTGGTCAAGCATTCAGTACCGGTGTCAGCGCGTTGCCTGATGACAGGGTGGGTCAGTGACATGAAGAGATAGGTTTAGATACCCTGGAACTTGTAAAACTAAACCCTATACCTAGAGTTCCTTTCGGGTCCCATAAATCAAGTATATGAAGGGGGTAGGGGTGGTTTAGATCAGGGTTTAATATCATTTGAATCCGCCCTCCCCGGATTACTACCCCCACCCTGTCATCACCATCAGACCACCCACCTTCTCAGAGAAACATCCCCCTCAATTAGCTTTTTGTGAACACTCCACCCCTCCTTTTTCAATAACTCACCCCATCATTCCCCCCTCCTTACCCCTCAAAACATATCCATTGTGTACCCCACCACCCTTCGAATATACCCTCTTCAAATTTGAACTACCCCACCTACTACTACCCCCACTACACCTCCATGGAAATCACCACCCTGTATACCCGGCATCCCCCCCAGCCACCCCCACCCCCACCCTACATATCCACCGTTCTCTACCCCCTTCTACTCCTTCTTTCTGTTCCCCATGTCCTGTGCGCGAGCGACTGGCGGCGGCGAGCAGAGTTAGAGAGGAGAGCGGGAGAGAGGAGGAGGGAGCAGAACAGAGGCTGACGACGAGAGGCGAGACGAAGTCAGGAGAGCAACTGTATCTCCTCTGATCTGCACGTCGAGTTTGCCGCGAGCGATAACTTGCTAAGTTTGTAAGTCGTGCACTTCGAATATTTGATCCTCCTAAAGCTCTCAAGACCTGTCCCCCTCCCTTGAGACCTTCGCATTCCACTGGATCATTCATCGTACAAGACCGATCTGAGCGAGCAACTGACTTACCGGCTGTTGCACGAGGAGAGGACCATCCAGCGTTGATGCGAGCTGAATAACAATCGCGAGAAAGTAAACCAACGATTACAAGATGTCGGAAGAGATTGACTGGCTGAACGAGGAGCTGGAGACGATCCAGACAGATGTCAAGGCGCTGCTGGATGAGCTCACAGCGAAGAAGAAGGCGCCGCCGGCTGAAGTGGAGGAGAAGCTCAACACCGTAGAGGAGAAGATGAACCGCGCTAAGGACATTGTCTCCAACTTCCGCATAGAGCTCCGGTCGGTGGCCAAGGAGATCGGCCGTGAAAAGTACAACATCTACGAGCAGAAAGGGAAGGAGCACAATGTGAACATTTCGAAGCTCAACCAGCAGGTGGAGTCGACGAAGAACATCATTGCTAAGAGAGAGTTGATGAAAGGGGCGGTCAAGAAGCCCATCATCGACGAGACGACCAGCGGGAACGAGATCATTGAGGAGGGAAAGAAAGTTCAGCAGAACACTGCGAACGCTCTGTTCCGCACAGGGAAGTTGGTTGACGAGATGGAGAAGATGGGTACTGAGACGAACATGAACCTCAAGGGGCAAACAGAGCAAATCAGGCAAACTAACTCGGATGTTGAGAGTGTGCAGGGGAATCTGAAGAGAGCAACCAAACAGATCAGAGACATCGGAAGAAAGTTGGCAACGGACAAGCTCATCATGTGCCTTGTCCTCCTGCTCATCCTCGCCATCATCGGCGTTATCGTCGGGCGATCGCTGGGAATCACTCCGGGGAGCAGCGTATCGAGCATCGACTGCGCCCTTGTCTTCACACAGACGACAGCTGAATGCCTTGCTGCAAGAGCGAACGCGACAGTGACAACAACTCCGGCTCCCTCCTCCTCCTCGCCTACCACCTCCTCCCCCTCCTCCCCCTCTCCGTCCTCTCCTTCAAGCGTGCCCGTCGCCAACATGACGACGACTGTCCTCTCTACCACACCAGCTCCATCCTCTTCCAACACTTCGGTAGCGACCTCTCGTGCTTTTGTCGTGCTCTGACTACCTTGCCCTCGCAGAGGAGGCTGCTGCTTGTGGAGAGCTTGGCTCCTTTCACCGCCGAGAGATGGGAGCTACCCACTCACGACTTCCTGAAACCGGTGGAGGTTCAGAGGCAGGGTAAGGGATGAAACTTACCTCCATCCAACACTCACGTTTACCGCAGCCTTGAGCAACGCAAAGATAAGGCAGACTGTCAGGAAGCACTTCGAACAAGTCGAGCAGATCTTGGCGCAGTTCGAAGAGAGGTGAAGGAAGCCGCAGGGTGATGGAGAATGTGAATAAGACGAGGATGCTGATGTGAATATGTTCATCTCAAAGAATACAAGAAACTTGTACAATATCTACTCTACACCTCCTTTCGACTTCCCCTCGTACAGCTGCATGCTTAGATAGCTGGGTGATGGAGAATGTGAATAAGACGAGGATGCTGATGTGAATATGTTCATCTCAAAGAATACAAGAAACTTGTACAATATCTACTCTACACCTCCTTTCGACTTCCCCTCGTACAGCTGCATGCTTAGATAGCTGGGTGATGGAGAATGTGAATAAGACGAGGATGCTGATGTGAATATGTTCATCTCAAAGAATACAAGAAACTTGTACAATATCTACTCTACACCTCCTTTCGACTTCCCCTCGTACAGCTGCATGCTTAGATAGCTGGGTGATGGAGAATGTGAATAAGACGAGGATGCTGATGTGAATATGTTCATCTCAAAGAATACAAGAAACTTGTACAATATCTACTCTACACCTCCTTTCGACTTCCCCTCGTACAGCTGCATGCTTAGATAGCTGGGTGATGGAGAATGTGAATAAGACGAGGATGCTGATGTGAATATGTTCATCTCAAAGAATACAAGAAACTTGTACAATATCTACTCTACACCTCCTTTCGACTTCCCCTCGTACAGCTGCATGCTTAGATAGCTGGGTGATGGAGAATGTGAATAAGACGAGGATGCTGATGTGAATATGTTCATCTCAAAGAATACAAGAAACTTGTACAATATCTACTCTACACCTCCTTTCGACTTCCCCTCGTACAGCTGCATGCTTAGATAGCTGGGTGATGGAGAATGTGAATAAGACGAGGATGCTGATGTGAATATGTTCATCTCAAAGAATACAAGAAACTTGTACAATATCTACTCTACACCTCCTTTCGACTTCCCCTCGTACAGCTGCATGCTTAGATAGCTGGGTGATGGAGAATGTGAATAAGACGAGGATGCTGATGTGAATATGTTCATCTCAAAGAATACAAGAAACTTGTACAATATCTACTCTACACCTCCTTTCGACTTCCCCTCGTACAGCTGCATGCTTAGATAGCTGGGTGATGGAGAATGTGAATAAGACGAGGATGCTGATGTGAATATGTTCATCTCAAAGAATACAAGAAACTTGTACAATATCTACTCTACACCTCCTTTCGACTTCCCCTCGTACAGCTGCATGCTTAGATAGCTGGGTGATGGAGAATGTGAATAAGACGAGGATGCTGATGTGAATATGTTCATCTCAAAGAATACAAGAAACTTGTACAATATCTACTCTACACCTCCTTTCGACTTCCCCTCGTACAGCTGCATGCTTAGATAGCTGGGTGATGGAGAATGTGAATAAGACGAGGATGCTGATGTGAATATGTTCATCTCAAAGAATACAAGAAACTTGTACAATATCTACTCTACACCTCCTTTCGACTTCCCCTCGTACAGCTGCATGCTTAGATAGCTGGCTTTCCTAACCGTCTTCACTCCTCCCTTGATCCCTGACTTGATTCCGCTCCAGATCATTCGCCCTGTACCCTTCCGATGCTTCTTCGCACCTGCTTCTGCCAATCAGCACCAGCCCGTTTCCGCATCCCTCATGCCAACTCCCCCTCCCTCCCCCTCTCCTACTCTTCGCTCCCTGTAGCGTTGCTACATCCCAACCCCTCCCTCCATCCTCGCTAGTGTGATCAGTTGTCTTCTTGCTTCCTCCCTTCCTGTCTCCCTCCTCCTCCTCCTCCTCCCTTGTCCTCCCATACCAGCAGCAGGCAACTCGTCGCTCCTGAGCTTCGTCCCAGCAGCCGTGAAGTCGCTCTCGCTTGCGCTCAAGTAGTCACTCCCCTCCTCGCTTGCGCTCCCGACATCGTCACTTGCCGTCTCCGACTCGATCGGCTCCTCGTCGTCCAAGAGGAGAGCATGGAGGTTCTCGACGTCGGAGGGGATGAGGGAAGAACGAGTGCAGGAGACGATTACTGTCATGCCGAACATCAGGTGCCGTCGGAGGATCAAGTTCCTTGTCTGCTCGTCTGATATCTCCTCCACATTGTCGATGCACATGATGGAAGACTCCTGCAACCCCGCAAGGTAAGTCTCCCCTCCCTCCTCCCTCCTCTCCTTACCCTCCCTCTTCCCTCCTCTCCTTCCCTCGTTCCCTGCTCCCCGTTCTCCCTTCCTCCTCTTCTCGTCCCTCCTTTCCTCCTTTCCGCTCCTCCCTCTCCCCTCTTTTCCCTCCTCCTCTCCGCATCCTTCACCTGCACGTCCGCTGCAAACATGGCCCGCACGAGGCATACCATCTCCTGCTCGTAACGTGACAGCTTGCGCATCCTGCTTCCAACCTGTACTTCTTCACCGCAAACTCTCTCGTCCAGTCTCGCCGGCCATCTCCTCACCACGTCGGCGAAGTGGCACTGCTCTAGGGCGGCCCACAACTGCCAGTCGCCCTGCGCCTTCCCCAGCAGGTCGATGTTCTCTCGGACCGTACCAGACAGCACAAACTTTCTCCTCGGCACAACTGTCACCAGCTTTCTGAGCTTCACCAGCGGCAGCTTCGACATGTCCACCCCCCCGAGGTGCATGCTTCCCCTCCCCATGCCGCTCGTCCCCCCCAGCATGCCAGTCAAGCTGGGCCCGTCCTGGAAGATGGCAGACTTGAGAAGCAGCACGTGTCCTGCTGGGATCCTGACGTCCAGCTTGACCCCTTCAGGATGATGAGGATCTCCAGCAGAGAGCTCGAGACCCTCGAGGAGCAGGTCGGAGTTCTTGGTCGGGGAGCTGAGCGACTTGTAGCTTACATCGGTCGCATGCTGCTCCCTCCCTCCTCTGCTCCTCCCTCCCCAGAACTTCCACCATGCTCTGTTGCCGAAGGCCTTCAGCTTCTCGCGCAAGATGCTCCGAAGGGCCTCAACAGGGTGGTCTGCAGTAGGGGAGGAGGAGGAGAGCTTGTCCTCCGGCTCCAGCTCGGCCAGGAGCTGGAAGTCCTGCTGGCTGAGGAGGAGCTCGTCGACGCGTGCGAGGAGGCCGGAGAGGTCCACCATGATCCACATGGCGAAGAACGAGTTGAGGATGCTGATCGCCACGAAGCTGACATGCCGAGATGCGTGAAACACCTGCTCCTCCTCTGCTAGGGGAGACTGCTCCTGCTCAGCTGGGGGGGGCGGCGAGGACGGTTGGCGGGTGAGGTCCAGCAGGATGGCAGAGAGAACGAGCGCGAGCTGGAGGATAGCAAGGGACTCCGTTCGCATCCTCCTCCACCCCCGCACGCCCGCTAGAGTGAACTCAATGGAGGAGGAGACTCTGAGGAGCAGGTTGAACTTGTGCGCCATGGGGGAGGAGAGGGAGCCCTCCGCAGCCCGAAGATCGTAGGCTCCGACGAGGGTCTTCCACTGGTGGTCGGCAAGCTGCATCAGGTAGTCTTGCTGCAGCCTTTGCACCTCCAGGACCCCGCGAGAGGACTGGGAGACGGTCTTGGAGTAGACCCACATCGTGAGCACGAGGGGGGCAGTCGAGATGGGCAGGACGGCAGCGACGAGTATGAAAGAGCACAGGAGAACGACGATGCTGAGGAGGGGCAGGAGGAGGCACCTTACATGCTTCCTCCACACCAGAGATCTTTCGAGGAGGCATGCGAACCCTTCGCTCTGCATCAGCGTCTGCAGCACCTCGCACTTGGCGGCCGTGAATGCAAGCAGGATCCGACGACGGAGGCTCTGAGACGATGGGGGAGAGGTCAGAGGATGCGGTCAAGGAGGTCAGGAGAGAACTCTCACCTTGTTCACATGGCTCGAGAGGTTGTAGGAGAACAGGACGGCGATCAGGACTGCCAACAGGGCCAGTCCGTTCAAGAGCAGGAAGGTCGACGGCAAGTCGAAAGGGGAAATCAGGTCCGCCATCGCCTCGACGACCTTGGAGTCTGCGCAGGGAGGCCATACAGTCCCGTCAGCCTCTGATCGGACCGGAAGCTCTCTCCCCCTCCCCTCCCTCGTACGCTGCCGCCCCACGACTACCATCGTCGAGTTCGTGAACTTCACGCTCTCAGCCATCATCACGTCCCCCATCTTGCCCAGCAGGCATCCCATCAGCAGCAAGCAGACGACAGCTCGACCACCTCCTCCTCCCAGCTCCCTCAGAGCCTCAAAGGACTGGCCTCCTGGACGCGAGCTGGACGCGACGAGTCCGTGGGGGGCCTGGCAGTGACAAGTTTGCGGAATGTGCGGGGGCCCCGCTGGCAGCCTGTCGAAGCAGCTGGCGGAGCAGGTGGGGGAGTGCTCGGCCAACTCGGGGACGGCGCACCTGGAGCCCTGACGCTCGAGGACGAGACGTCGGAAGTCTTCCTGCGAGGAGACAATGGTGAGGAATCCCCCGCGGAGGAGAGCGACGGAGGGGAAGAGCTCGGCGAAGCGGAAGTCCCTCGAGCTGAAGAGCAAGGTCGCCCTCCTGACCACGGGGCTCTGCGTCACCCGCCGCAGGAGGAGCAGCCGGAGGCCGAAGGGAAGACTCCTGAGCGGCTCGTCGAGCAACAAGACTTCCGCGTCCTCCAGCAGGCACCTTGCCAGCGTGACGCGACAGCAGAGGTCCTCGCTGCAGGTAGAGGAGCGGAGGACTTGGTGCTCGTAGAGGTCCAGCTCCTCATGCTTTTCTGCTACCCTCCGATCCCGTCGATGGAAGTTCAGCCCGCAGGCCTTGGCAACGGCGTAGAACCTGCTAGGGTCGAAGGCCCTGCCAAGGACGATGTTTTCCTTGACACTCACGCCGTCCACCACCCAGGGGTCGGGGGAGCAGTAAGCGACGCACCTGCTGACATGCACTGACCCGTTCCCCACCGCACTCTGACCGAAGAGAGACAGGAGTAACGTCGTCTTGCCAGACTTTTCGTCTCCTAGTACGAACATCTGTGACCTTCGCTCCACCCGGAGATTCACATTGCGAAGGACAGGGAGGAAAGCTTCCTCCTCAGCATCCTCCGCCTCCTCTCGCTTCCTCGGTCCTGTGAGCAATGGGAGGAGCCTGGTGGAGTCAGCCTGGCATGACGTATCGGTCTCCCTGCCACTCAGCACCGACTCGTTCTCCTCCTCCGATCTTCTCTCCAGGGGGTCGAGGAAGTGGGCGAGGGGGGAACAAGCTGTTTTCCTCCTCCATCCCACCGACACATGCTGCAGCACCACAGCATGGTTCTTCGTGTCTGCTGCAGAGCCTTGAGATTGTGCAAGGCGTCTCTGCATGCCGCTGCCCTGATCCTCCTGCAACATGCGCTCAAGCCTCCTGTACGCCATTCTTGCTGCCAAGACCCTTTTTGCATGTTCGTAGGACATGCACATCTGACGAACAAAACAAAACAAGAGGAGGAGGGAGGAGATCATCTTCTCTCCTGAAACGCAGTGGGATGCTTCTTTGCAATGCTCCTGCGCCACCATAACAGCGAAGGCAAGGGAGGAGTACGACACGACCCAGAGTGAAGTGATGAAAAGGACCTCTGTCCCAGCAAACATTTCGAGACGGCCGAGGAGTCTTTCCTCCCCCCTTTGCAAGGCCGCTACTCTCTCTGCAAACTGTGCCTCCCACCCGAAATGCTTGAGTGTGATGATACCCTCCGTGTGCTGTCTCCATGCAGACCTCCTCGACGCCTGCGAAGACTTCATCCTCCTCCTCGTCGAGCTTTGGAAGCACACCAATCCAGACCCCACGATCACCCCGGCCAAGAGGAGCAGCGTCATCACAACAACAGCAACCCGACCGAGGAGGTGGCAGCACCCGATGAAGCACAGCAGCAGCATCGTGAGGGAGTTCAAGAGGGAGGTCAGAGACCCAAAGGACCTTGCAAGCACGTCTGGGTCCTGCACAGCCTGATAGCGAGACGTGTAGAGATGAGTTTCTACCCTTACGTGGTGTAAGAGAGCATTGTAAACCCCAGACGAGAGCAGTGTCTTGACTTTGATCACCTCCGACGAAAGGAAGAATCTCCCTTGGCTCCGCAGAAACATCGCAAGAGCAATGCATCCGACCACAGACACACTGTGCAGAACGACGTCCTTCCTCGAGACCGCCGTGTTGGCGCCTGATGGCGAGAAAAGCTCAGGACGGAGCATCTGGCCAACGAGAAAGAAGGAGATGAGAACTAGCACATCTGAGACCAACTTCACGCAGAAGATCATCGACACTGACACGCCCGAGAAGTCGAGGAGCAGGAGATACAGGGTCCTCCTCCTCCCCCACAGCGTCAGGAACGAGCTGAGGAGGATCGGAGGATCTGCCTCGCAAGGAGCGACGACGATGTCTCCGCAGAAAAGTTTCCGAACCTGGGATGCGCACAGGGTCTTGTTCTGCCAGAGGAACAGGAGCTGTGAAAGGAAGGGAATGTCTTCGTATGCCTTGCCGAGGGAAAACTCCTTCCTGTCAAGAAATCCAGTTTCAGCACTCTCCGCCAGGTCCTCGTGCGAGTCAAAGTTGTGCTGCGACGTCGTTGCTCCTTCCTTGTCCTGTTGCTCCTTCCCGCGGTATCGACACACCCCTACCACACCTAGCCCCAAAAGGCAGGCAAGACGTGCAGCCATGGAGGCCATCATCGCGGCTCTCGGCAGCGCAGGAATGGTGCTTCCTCTGCTCAGCACGGCCGCACACCGAGGAGCGACAGCTAGCAAGTCGATCACCAGCCATGCGAGCAGGGGAAGGTTGCGCCGGACGCCTGCGAACTCAACAAGGCGGAAGAAGCACAGGGACGCGCTCAAGCATGCGACGCCCGAGACGTTCATGTACAGTGAAGCTTCCTCGGCATGAGATTCTCCGCTGACGTCGCCCGACAGCAGGGAGCACAGGCATAGAGTATACTCGCACATGCACACCAGGAACACTGAGCCGCAGAGAAGCCATTCCATGGCTCTTGTCGTGCTGCTCCTCGCTCCCTCTGCCACTGACGTTCTGACGAGTCCGAGGGGAATGATGCAGATAGCAAGCACATGTAGGATCATCTCGATCACCATCTCGTCGCATGCTCCCACTGCAGTGAGTATCCAACCTGCCATGTCCTCCCTTCCTGTCGCCTCCACTTGCCCTCCCCTCACAGATGGACTCAACTTACCTCCCCTTGCCCCCCCTTCGCTACTCTTCTATCTTAGTATGCTCCCCTCTTGTCTTCTCCTCCTCCCTTCTCTGCTCTCCTCTTTCCCTCTCCAACCTCTCCACTCCATTCCTCTCCTCTCCTCTCCCACATTGCGTCTTCATGCCGTACTGACAGCGCTTTGAGGGCACAAACTCATTTGAGGAGTTTTCAGTAGTACAAAGTCAAAGAAGTCTTCTGCCCTCAATTTTTGCATAAATCAAATCTGAGGGGAGCCTGTCTTTTACCGGTGACTGGCTGCTTCGGAGAAAAGCTTGCATGATTCTTATCTCCATTCATGACTGACGTGTTTGTTTATTTCTTCTCAGTGCTTGTACAAACTTTGAATGTCCAGAAATTCATGTGTGCCCTGCTCTAGTGAGATCGGCTGTAGATCCTGGACTCCGGGAGGAGAGGATGGACTACCAGCACTCAGTGACCGATGATCAACGCTCGTCCCATCCACAAGCCCAGAACGTGGAACAGGAGAACGAGGAGAGGGAGGGAGAAACATCCTCTCTCCGATCGATCTTTGCTTCAGCATGCAACGAATCGAAATCCAGCGTGGGGACATAAGGCAAGAAAGATGGAAGAAGAAAATCTACTACAGAATCGGGATCCAATCCTTTCCCTTGCCACCTGAGCGACAATCAGGAAACTTAGCGGCATTCTCCCCCTACTCCTTCCATGTACCTCGGGCCCTCGAACCTCTGGTTCCTTCCCCCCTCCCTCCCCCCTCCTCCCTCCGTCTCTTCCTCGTCTCCCTTCTCCGCCTCCTCCTTACATGATTCCTGTCCTTGGCGCCTTCACTTCGGCGACAGTTATGAACATGTGACCTCGGCCCTGCGGCAGCGAGAACAGACCTTGAACAAGAGCTTTGCCGAAGGTCTTCTTGCCGTAGACCTTCTGCGCACTGCAGTCAGCAGCCGAGTCAGGGGGCAGCAGCCGGAGACTCACCGCGTTCCTCTCCTCTCTCAGCGAGACTGCAAGGAACTCGCTAGCGCTCGCGCTGGGGAGGACAAATATCACTCCTCGTCGCTCAGCCCACACGCACGCCCTCACTCCACCTCTCCTCATCAACCAGGACAACGACCGGAATGTCGCTGGCCAACAAATCTGATCTCTTGTCAACGAGGCCTTCTGTCTTCAGCATCCAACTCCTCCCCCCTTTCCCAATCACTCGCACAAACGGCTTCCCTTCCCCATGCACCAAACCCTACAACAGTGTGACCAGAGTCACAGGAGCAAGAGCAACTATCACAGCAATCTGCTGCGCCTCAAACACAAGGCCGCCCTTGTTCCCTCGCACATCGAGCACTAGCGCCTGCTATCGGATCACACCAGCTACCATCTCCTCCTCAGAGTACCTCAACATCCTGACCCTCCACCTCTGCGAGAGCAGCGTCAAAGGATCGGGCAACACCAGCGGTGAACTGCGGGACCTTGACGTATGCTACCTTCCTGCCCTTGACCTGCTTGACTTCATGGTAGAGGGGCGCTGCTCTCCCCGTCTTGTGTCGTGTTGCAAAGACCGAGGAGCGCTGAGGGAGTAAGAGATTGTTTTGTACTGACTTTCCCTCTCGGATGACTTCAAGTTCCATCATCCCAGACGAAGTCTGCAACAGTTCCGCTGCTTCAAACCTTGAACGGCACCTCATATCTCGTCCGTTGATTCCAACAACTTGATCCCCGCGACGCAGACCGTCTTGATCGCGAGTCGTGTATCCAACGAACAAGTCTCCTCCTGCGCAACTCTCCACTCTGTCTGCCCCCTTCTCGCCAACTGTCATGGTTGACAAGACCATACCAGCACCAAGGTTGTCGAACTGCCGCATCATTGTCTTCATCTCTGTCTCTGACACAAGTCTTGTGTACTTGTCATCCAGTCTCCTCAGAACGTCCGACAAAGTGTCTCCGTCAATCATCTGACGATCGGTCAACGTTCCCTCAGCTCTGCACGTTGCCAGCTGCTGTATATTCCTCGATCTACCCGTCCAGTCAACGAAGTTCGCCTGTAGAATGTCCCGAGTACTTTGCATCAGAGTGCAATCTGAGCTGATTGCTGCCTGCAGCGTCGTCAGCTCGCGATCCGCTAGGAAGGAGCTGATCCAAAACTGAGAGAAGTTGAGGGACGAGAGGGCGGAGAGGAGGATGAGAATCGCGCCTATGTCCCTGCGCAACGTGCTGACTTTCCGTCTGCACATGTGCAGGGAGCATACTCCCCTCCTCCGTGTTGGATGGGTGAACCTGCTGTTCAACCCCTCCAAGGAGGGACGCCATGCTGTTGGAGTGAAAGCAGGAGGGTGCAGAGGAGCCGCTGGTTTGAGTGAAGCGAGCATGGTGCCAGGTCAGCGCAGGCAAAGGAGGATGCGAGTATACCCAGGAGGACAAGAGGAATCAGGTGGGAGAAACCAGTAGAGAAAAGAGAAGTGAAAAGGGAGAGAAACGGTATCGGGGTTGGGGATACGGAGAGATGGGAGAGGGTGGAGGGAGATGGGAGAGGAGGGGAAGGATAAGGAAAGGAAGGAGGAAGGCAGGAGGAGGGGAGGAGAGCAGGGGGCAGATGAGGGGGGGTTGGGTGGGTTGGCTCGTCTGTCTTCAGGCAGCTGCCATGAAGGAATCAGTCCGCTCGCCCTACCCGAAAGAGATCATTGAATAGGGGTGGGGGAGTACATGAAATAAACTTTACCGGTACTATCAAAGGGATTATGGCACAGTTTGTAGGGGTAGGTACCATTCATGGAGGGTGCTACAACAGTGGGTGGTGTTGCCGCTTCAAGAAATGATGATGCAGGAGGAGAGGGAAAAGTAACCGAAACACACAAGAACAGGAAAAAGAGGAAGAGAAAGAGGAAGAAGGACAAGAAGGACAAGAGGAAGGAGTTGGACGAGGGAGTAGGAGGAAGGAGTAGGAAGAAGAAGACAATCTTTGACTTTGCAAGATGAAGGAGATCATTAGATATCAAGGCCTGGTGATCAGTCTGGCATTGATGGTTACAGTGCTGGTACTGCATCATCGGCTCCCAGCAAGTGTCAATCTCCTCGACGTCCTTCCGCACTACCATGGCAAGTATCCTAGGTACACAAGTGCTAGCGACATGGCCGACAGGTTCCAGAACCGACAGGACTTTATGCCAACTGCTGATCAGAGTGCTTACCTGTATGCCCAGCATGTAGCACAGTCTCATGTTGGGCAGCTGTTGAGATGGAGGAACTATGTCACTCAGCGGAGGAGCAACGCAAGTCCGCAGGAGGAGCGAGCGCAGGCCGAGGAGATGGCGGACGTGGCGATGAAGGAGTACAAGGATGCGAGCAAACAATTAACCTTCTTGAAGCAGAAAGAAGTAGCTAGGGCAAGACGGAGGAAGCAACTTGAAAGCCAACAGCTGACCTCGGATGTCGACCGCATCGCCAACCAGATCCTACGTGACCAGCAGCTCTCCAGGGTGAAGTCCGACGAGGCGAGAGGAAAGATCAAAAACGCTGTTCAGACCTTGACGCAAATGGCGGAGTCAGGGGTGATCAGGAAGAAGCGAAGTGTCCTGACGCCCGCAAAGACGCTCCTCCGCGCTCAGCCCCCGTTGGAGACGACGACTTTCCATCCTCTCCCAGAGAACGTGGCCGCAGGACTGCTGTCCCAGAGGATGCAGCGGGACGAGGCGAACATCGCGTCACTGTCAATGGCTGTGAGCCGACTGCGGCAGAAGGATGCTGAGATCAGGAACACTCTTGACTGGAGGGGGAGGAGTGCTCATCGAACGGCGCGGAAGTGAATTGACGAGGATCGACGTGCACTTGTACACGAACAACCACGTGTTGACTACATGGATATCGCAACAAGCTTGATGTCGAGCACCAGTGATTTTGACGACGATGACGATGACGGCAACAAATATGGCTATGAAGATGAAGAACTCTGCCCTCGGCTACATCAGCCTTGCACCAGGCAGCAGGTCTTCTGCTGATCCGCATCTCAAGTACGTGTGCCCGTTAGCGAATAAAAACTGCATGCAACCCACCTAGTGCGAAGGTTTCAGGCGAACTTGAAGAAGACATGTGAAACATCACCCGCGTGTTGACAAGGATGTTGATTGCCAGCGAGAGGGAGCTGTTCTCAGGGTTCATCTTTCTGCTGATTGGCTGGCCCGAGTGGTTCCACACTTGTCCTGCTGGCGGGGTGAGAACTCCAGCTGAAACTTGAGCAGGTTCATTCATGACACCTGCTCCTAACGCAGGCGAAGTCCACACGTCGTTGTGTCGAATCAGATCGATCAGACTCAAGGCATTCCGATCAGGACGACTGGTTGTTGTCAACAGATACCTGAACGGCACAGCAAGTCAGTAAACGCTCTTCTGTCCCTTGCGTCTACCAAAGATCTCCGCTCCTCGCCATGCTGATCGGATTTCCCGAGGTCCCCGGCAGGGACCTGAGGGTCCGGTGGTGATCTCAGTAGCGATTCTACCGCACGAAATGAAAACAGACCATGCAGTCTTGATTCCTACTAGATCGTCGTCCAGCAGGATCACCAGCGGCTTGCCGTCGGAGTCTGACTCTCCCTCCCCTTGTTTCTCCGATTTGCGGGAGCTTGAGACAAGGTAAGCAAACTGAAGGCAAGCTCGTCAACGGACAAGAACAAGCAAGGTTCATGTGGCCGTTCCTCATCGTCAACGATTGGCATCAGATCTCTGCAGCATCGGAGGGAGATCAGCCGCTCGTCGAAGAAGAGCTGGCTGCGGAGCTTGAAAGGACCCTCAGGAAACTCCGATTCCGCGATGGCAAATGCTCTCATTCTCTCCCCAGCCTTCTCCTCCCAATCCGCAGCAACCTTCTCGGTCTCGTTGGTGCACACCTGCCTGCAGCAGCCTTGAGTGACCAGCCGCCTCCCTCTGCTCAACCGACCGATCTGCGCGGTGCGACAACACCAGCCACATGATCCAGACTCCCCGGTCGACATGCCGTAGCATCGCTGACAAATGACAGTCAACAGAAGATCCTCCCCCTACATGCGGTGGCGACAAGACCTGGCTGACTCTCAATCCTCAACGTCTCCATCGCACTGGCAGGAGCTGAGCGCACGGTCATAACATGCTCGGGGAGGTACCTGAGATCCAGCGCGACTGTTTCGTCGCTCCATGTGCCTTGAACCGACACCTTCCTGCCCTTGACCTGCATCGAGAGTCGCTCAGCCTGTTGTATGACACGATCTTCCAACTTCACCATTACTCTTGCCTCCTCGTAGCTGTTCCTCGGGGATCTTCGATGCCTTGCGTTAGAGAGAAGACAAGAGGGATGTCGCTTCAAGCTTTGTCACCTGTACGAGTACCAGTACGACCCGCTCTCATCCACTACGATCCCATCCCCCACCAGCACAGTCGGCGCCGTTTCTGCGCACGAATAAGTCCTGGAGCACTTCATCCTTTTAGGGAGACCAGGAGCTTCTGGTGCTGGAGACGGTTCATTCTCAAGATGCTGATCTAAACGTTCCTTCACAGGCTCGGGAGGAGGAACGGGCATGTCGTTCACTTGGGCTAGGAAGAAGGATCAGAAGCAGAAGCAGCGCCGCAGGCATGCTGCTCCTCACCCTTTGCTTCTTCAGCAGGAAACTCCGGTTGATCCCATGGTATCCTTTCAGTTGTGCTTTCAAACGCGCTCCACTTCACTTGTTGTTTCTTGAGGTATTTCTGTGCAAAGTCAGAGGTACGCTGGCGATTGCCATCAGCTCATGATCAGATCCATGCCTGGATGAGCTGGTTGCATATTTGGATGTCGTCGATCTGTGATCGACATTGTTCCATGAGCTCGCTTGTGCTCCAGTGTCTCTCTGTCCTCGGATCTGAGGACTCAGTCGTGGCGGCTGGCAGCGGATCGCTTCCGGGAGCGAGTGCTCTCGCTGAGGCAACGAGGGCAAACAATGCAATCATCATCATTCTTCTGCATCTCAACAACTTCAGCATCGTTGTCTGAAGGTTCCGAGTGAGGTGGTTCCAGAGAGGTTTGCCTGATCCTGGCATGCCAACACCTTAGCAGCGCCTCTCCCCCATGTTCAAGTTCCTCTCAACGCAAGTCCGTTCTCGGAGTCGATCCTGACCATCACAGAGTCAAGTTTGATGGGAGGCGACCGCGAAACTGGGTGACCATCTCAGCATACCTCAAAAATTTGCTCCATATCTTTCTCTATATTTTCAAATTAAAGCTAGAAATTTGTATTATCTGGACCTGGTTCGAAGGTAATATGGAACAGAATTCTTTCCATGCTCATACCGCATCCCCCATCCCCACCCACCCCTACCCTCAACACACATTCAGTCTTGACCCCTACCCCCCTTTGGTGAGAGATTGCGATATACAACCCCGTCATTTACCTCCCAAAATCCCGGGCTAATCACCTACCCCTACCTCTCAGATACCACCTACCCAGTTCTACAAAGGGCTCCCACCCCACCCGGTTCTGATCACGGCCTCCGTTCGCCATGGCGCCAGGTGAGGGAAGAGCATCTCGAAGGGAAGGAAAAGTCGAGGATATGGAGAGATGGAGAGATGAAGTGGAAGGAGTGATCATGCTGCTTGTTTGATCTGCTGTGAGTCGCAAGGGAGGAAATGCTGCTTTCAGGATTGTACGCCTGGAGAGTCTAGGGAGGGAGGGTAGTCCCGTTTTGGTCAGGACAGTTCTATTGCCGTCGGAAGCGTATCATGCTGTCGCTTCTTTGAAGTGAATGAAGGAAGTCCTTGAAGATGCAGTTGTGTTTGTGTCTGTTGCCTTTTGATGGAATGCGCATGTGCAAGTAAAGTCGTCACGGGGTGACGACGGTTCGAATTGTTGCAGGCAAGCGATTCGGGGCAAGCATGGTGCTTGCCTACGCCTTCGTCCAAGTTGGTCAATGCTTCATGTCTGTCGGTCCTGCTGGTATGCGATTCTTCCCCATGTCTACGTCGGATGCTAGACTGTTTGGCTCATCCATGACAACGCCGACGCTGCGAGGAAGGTCAGGTGCCCTCAGTTGCAGGAGCTCGATGCTTGAGCAAGTGAGGGAACGGAAAATGAAGGAGGTGGAGGAGCTCAAGGCAAACATGCCGGAGGATGCCGCGAAGATCTTAGAGAAGGGCGCCACGAACAAGAACAGATATCTCAAGTGAGCCTCATTGTAACCCTCCTCCCGGCTTGCAACCCCTTGCTTCTTCTTTCCATGCAAGCTAAATGCTGATGGTGGGCTGCGATCAGGGCAGTCAAAAAACCCAAGGGTACCATCAGCGTTGTCCCTCAGATCAAGACAAAGGCTCCGACCCTTGGAAGCTTTGCCTCCCTGCCTGCTGTGGATGTCTTGAGCGCTCATTGCTATGAAGCTGGTTTGTTTGCCCTCGCGATGTTGCATGTTGTCATTGACTTGTCTTGACTGCAGGAGCAGCTGCCATTGCCGTGTGCACAGACAAGGAATTCTATGGTACAGACTGGGAATCTCTCAAGAAAGCAGCTGGGCAGCAAGCTCGCTACAAGGGGAAATTCCCTGGACCGCTGCCGGTAAGTCGGAAAGTATTCGTTGCCCTGTTTGAACTTGTCCTTGATCAGGTGATGGCCTATGATTTCTTCATCGACGAGGCTCAGCTAGCTCTCGCTGCTTCTTATGGTTGCGATGCTGTCTGCCTGAACGCGGCGTTGTTGGGAACCAGCACCAAGGACATGGTGGCTTCTGCTGACAGAATGGGAATGGACGCGCTCGTTGAAGTGCACAACAAGGCGGAGCTTGATATTGCAATCGAAGCTGGAGCAAAGATGGTAGAAGACACTGCTTCTGAATGCAGAAATGCAGTGGCGGGTTAACTGTGCCCAACACAGGTTGGCATTTCCAACAGAGACATGGACACGTTCCAATTGAAGCATCCTGTGGACTACCAACTCCGTACCTGGAGCGTGCCTGTTGAAGAGACTGTGTTCGGTCTTGTCAAGGAGGTGTGAATTCTTCTGGAGATATACTCGTGTGCTTACATGTGCATTGCAGGTTCCCGAGGGAGTGCACGTAACAGCTATGGGAGGTTGCAATGAAACCTTGGTCGCTTGGACTCTGCGTGATGAGGGATATTCCTCGATCATGGTGGAAGCGAGAGGTCAAGGAAGGCAACTCAGTAAACATGTGTGTGCAGGTTGGAGAAGCCATCATCCGGGGCTCGGAGATGCGTATGGCCAGCAGTGCCTACTCTGCTGCCTACAACGAGGCTAAGGGGCTCATCATGGTAAGTCATCTTCGGCGCTGCTGGTCTAGAGGGCTTACATTGGTTTGTGTCAAGGCTTTCAAGGCCAAGGGCAGCAAGAAGTACGGACCCTCAGCAACCGGTTCCTTCTTCGGAAAAGGGGAAGGAGCCAAGGAATCGCTGGGAATGATGTCCATATAGTGCAAGAGCTGCGAGCTGAAAGCCTCAGTCAAGTCCGGGTGGATCATAAACGTGCCACCTTGGTTTTTAAACCCCGGAGAGTTCAACGACTCACAGGCCCCTGTGACTGCCAGTCGGCTGCGGGGGCGGCCTCACTGAAGTGGCCGCCGCCGGCCGGGCCCGGAGGGCCGCGCCGGGCCCCCGCTCCGGGCCCGGCCCCCGCCGGGCGGTATCATCAGCGGGAACTGGTGTCATCGGCACATGCCAGTTCGACTCAGCCGCCGCTTGTTTCAACTGAGTCTGATCTTGTCAAACTTGCAAGCAAGTTGATTTACTCTCAGAGTCTGGCAGTCCAGTTGCCTGAGGCTCAGGAGTCCGAGTCACGCCTACGATTCTCAGGCTGTGATCGGTGGGCGGCCTCGCCGCCCGGAGTCACGAGTCGTCAGAGCCGCGCCCGGCGGGCCCGGGGCGCCGCCGGACTCGGGATCGGACTCCGGGACTACTCATCAGCGGCTAGTATGGTCCGACCGCGCCCCCCGGCGTCCGATCGCCGGCCCGCCGGCACGCCGGGCGCGGTGCCGAGGACCGTCCGACCGTCGCTCGGACCCCGCGTTCCAACGGTTCACTCAAGGCTGTGACTGCGGCAGTGCCGGCCAGTCCCGGGGCCTGAACTCCGGGAGTCCGGGACATGCCGGGTCACCCTTTCTCGGGGAGAGCCGTAAAGGCTCAGTCGGATTCTCCGAGCTGCTTGAAGAACTACCCTACCCCAATCCCGCTGAGGCCGACCGTGATCCCACGGCACCCCCACACTTCCAAACCCGGGCCCCTTCCAAGCCCGTTTTTGAACACTTCACGCTCAGGACCTAATACTAGGTACAAGACTGGAAGTTGTGCGGTACGCCTTCGGGGGACATACGGGTACCCTTGTACTGTAGACGTCAACATCCATTACCACCCTACCTCCTCATATAAACCCCCAATGATGACTACCCCTACTGTGGACTCCCCATGCTACTGCACACTAACCCCACCCATATTATGATGAATGGCAGTACCCCTCCCATTTAATCAACTTCGGATGACCACCCCTACCCCGAGGGCTCTCAAGTAAAAGATCATTTTATCTACGGCCACCCCCTCGACTCCCTTGGATAACCTAGTGAGCACCCCACCCCCTCCCTTCCAAAACCCTTTTGCCCACCCCCTAACAACCCTACCCCCTGGGCGTACCTCTTCTTGTACTCTACACCGGGGGTTGTGCCGCCTCCTCCTTCGCCATGCCGTTGGCAAGCGAAGCATTGATGCGTGGGAAGGTTGCGCGGCGAAAGGAACAGGAGAAGCGGCAATGGCGCTGCTCCTGCCGCGTCCTTCGGCTCCTGAACTGGACGCCGAACACGCATGCTGAGGGGTTACAACCCTCCACGATCCCTCTGCTGCCCCTGCATCAGATCGGGCTCGGGGAGGTTCACATACCTTCTCGACAAGCAGAAGCGTGTCCGCGAAATCGCCCGGACCTCACGGATTCCTCACAGACAATGTACGAAAGACATGCCTGCATTGCTCTGGTGAATTCTGACCTCAGACATCGCAGGGAATTGTGCCAGGGTGTGCTGGGCAAAGTTGAGCAGGGGCAGGGGAGCGGAGTGCGTTCAGCACGAGGGTCGAGACGATCTGTGGACTCTGTCGGGAGCGCCAAGAAGAGGCATGAGAGTGTCTGCTTTGCACCTGCTGTCTGGAAGAACTTCAAACAAGCTGACTTGATCCACCACATCGAGAGCAAGCGGCCACAGACGGCAAGGCAGCAGGTGGAACTGACCGCTCTCTGCTCTCATGCTCAAAGACCTGAGCGGTCTGGCAGGGATCGCGAGCAAGTACAACTTCTTCTCTACCAAGGCCAGAGACATCAAGAGCATCTTCGGTACCATGACGTACTCTCTCCTCCTTGTTCCTCACGACGCACTCTCTAATCAGAGTGATCTGCATTTATGCATGCGCTGGATGAAACCCTGCTGGTAACAAGTCTGTGGTATTCTCGAGATGCTGAATGTTTGTTCCAGCCGAGAGATAGTGAAGAGCTCTGAGCGCATCAGCCATGATCAACAAGAAGACAGCAAGGTACACCCCCGAGACACGTGCAAGTGCTTGTCAAAGGTGTCAAGATGATTGATTCTTCTCCTTGCAGAGTCGAAATCCGAACACGGGAGAAACTCCTCGGAAGAGACTGGTGATGCGTCAGCACTCGGGGGAAAGTTTGGAGTGGAAGATGGGAGCAGACGATAAGAGGAAAGGAGATCCCATAGCTCCGAGGCGAAGCTATCCCCATGGTAGCTGGCAACCCCCTCCTCACTCGTTTGATGAATGCTCGGCCAGTCCCGAAGATATCATTGAAGGACGGAAGCTCTTCAAGAATGTCACAGACTAGCGATGGGGAGGTGAGTTTCCTTTCACTCGAGCTCTGCCTGAGCCTGTTCCGCCAGCTTCAGCACTCTTTGCTGAGAGGAAGGGAGACTGTCATGGTGAAACTCTCAATCACTTTCAAAACAACATCTGTTGATGACTTGCTGCAGAAAATCCCCCGTCCATCTCCGAGAAGGAGCCCTCCGTCAGAAGAAAATCAAGCAGCGCTCACTCCTACCCATGGGGGCAGCAAGAGGAGCTTGAGGCGGACGGGCTCTCGCACCCCTCGTCCTCTCATTCGCGACCACCGGGGCCCGCAGATCGACGAGGTCAGGGATGATGGACATGTTGTTGAGTTATGTGACGTGTTGACAAACAGATTGCCTTCAAGGAATCAACCAGCTCAAGTTCTCCTCGCAGGTGCTTCTGGTACACGCATGCTTCCTTGCTGATTATGAGGTACAGTGCGCGAGCTGAGATAGAAGCTGCTGCTGAACGGAAGCTGAAGCAAATGTTGACGATCCTGGAGAGGAATTGGGAAGAATCAAGAAGAGCAGATTGACGTGTTGAGATTTTATTCAGACATGTTGAAGTTATGTACATTATTATCATCCCATAGACGCGCGGATGAAGCTTGACATTATAGACACAACCAATAAATGATTGCAAATCCACAGAAATCTACTGGAACAAGCAAGTGAGCAGCGAGCTTGTATCGTGTACAATCGCACCGTGTCTTGTTGTCCCACATTTCCTCCAGCGCTTCACTCTTAGTCTTGAGATGACTCATTCCAAGCTTGACGGCGATTATCTCTAAGACAGCCTGTCCGAGAGTGAGAGGTGGAGCGGCATTGGAGATCGTACAAGGAAGGTGTGTTGACCGTCAAGATGACTGGCAGGCATCAAGTTGAAGACGCACACCGACAACTGCGGTCATGTTAGTCGCTCTGTGACATGAAGAGGAAGAAGTGATGACAGAGAGGGCGATGGTGTAAGCCAGAAATCTCCGCACGACCTGCTCGTGTCAACGTCATCGCAGGTAACACTGGAGCCGATCAACCAGGGGCAGATCTAGTGCTGCCAGCACTTGCAAGAAACACCATCTCCTCAACCTGACATGATGAAGTCATCTGTGTGTACAAGACAACATCAGAAGATCACTGGTAAGGAGATACAATGATGTCTCGATCCAAATCTTCAGCAGATCCTAAGAAGAGCACAAGACTGCTGGTAGAGTCTGTTTGTAACAGGTTCAATTTGAGATCGTCTTGCTCGTTGTTCGCTGACCACTCGCAGACTGCGTGCTGACTTTGAGGGGCAAAAACTGATCGGGCAGAGGAGGCGCAGGGAAGATACAGAGAGTAAGAGAGCCATCCTCGACTACAAAGAAGACGTCATCGTCATCGTCATCAAGTTCATCTTTTGATTGTCATCATATCAAGTAGATCGTCTCTACCTGCTCCATCCTCTTTCCTCTCGCAATCGTCCTGGTTGTAACATCTCTTCTTGCTGTCAGTCACCACCTGTCGGGGGGAAAGACAGCTTCCTGCCTGAACAGACGTTGCTGGTCAAAAAACGAAGAGCTGATTGAGATGTTCAATCATCATCACCAGTCGAGTGACGTTGTAAGATGAAGTTGTGCGGTTAGCAAACAGCACAAAGTTGCCTCCTTCAACGAAACAAAGCTTGTTCGACTTCTCACCGACTGAACAGAAACGTCAACTTTGACAAGCCACACCCCTCTCTTATTTTCTTGTGTTCCCCTCTGAGATTCTCTCTTCGACTCACCGGATGTTGCAGTGGCATTAGCAACAACATCTACCGATCGAAACAATCAGAACAAGGCAAACCTCAGCAGCAAAGTCTACCCCTCATCCGCGCATTGACCATCTGCTGGGGTTTTGCCGGCAAGCTCATCAGGTGAGAACAACAATCTCTGTCACCTTCATCTCTAGTCTCATCTCACATCGCACTCCTTCCCCCTCTCTGCTCTCCTCCTCCGTCTCCTCACCTTGTGTCGAGTAATCTATCTCCAGCGCATCTCTCCACAGCACAGGATCGACACAGAATCCTCTACTCATCAGTCTCCTGCTCCTCAACTCATGCTCTTTGCCCATCACTCGTCCTCTCATTCTCTCCAGGCAGGTGACCCATCCGCTCTTGTTCACCGCCTCCACGATCTGACGAGTCATCGTCAGGATCAATCCGCAAACCTCCTTTTGCTGGACCTGGCAGTCGTCAAGGTGAGATATCGCGTCGCCCACGTGCAGGTGCTGCTTCAGCGGCGAATCTGCAAACGTGACGATGAGCTGAGTTAGAGAAGGAGGTGAAGTGGGGAATCAGAGCAAGACAAAGAAGTAGGAGTAGGAGTAGGAGTAGGAGTAGGAGTAGGAGTAGGAGTAGGAGTAGGAGTAGGAGTAGGAGAAGGAGTAGGAGTAGGAGAAGGAGTAGGAGTAGGAGTAGGAGTAGGAGTAGGAGTAGGAGTAGGAGTAGGAGAAGGAGTAGGAGAAGGAGTAGGAGTAGGAGTAGGAGTAGGAGTAGGAGTAGGAGTAGGAGTAGGAGTAGGAGTAGGAGTAGGAGTAGGAGTAGAAGGAGGAGCGGCGAGGAGGAGCAGGAGGAGGAGGAGGTGGTGGTGGTGTTGGTGATAGTGGTGGTGGCGGTACACGCCAAGGGCAAAGGGAAAGGAAGTATGAACCTGGAAGAATGCTGACGACCGAGGCAGGGCCCTCGAAACTGGTGTAGAAGGGGAGGAACAACCATGGGAGGAGCATCTAGATTGCAACATTATTGCAACATGACGACAACAAAGATCTTGCAACATGATTGCAACATGACGACAACAAAGATCTTGCAACATTATTGCAACATGACGACAACAAAGATCCCTCACCTTCATGACAAGGCAAAACATTGCCAGGACTGCATTGTGCCATGGGCCGGCAGCATAAATCTTCAGTCTGCAGTGATTTTCATGATTGAGATTATAGTAGGATTGCTCCTTTGCCTCTTGTAAGGAGTTTGATGTTGAAGATCCTGACCGATCGTTATAGACCTCAAACAGAGTAGATGGCAACTACCGGATCGAGCTCAACAAAAGCTCCGGGAATGATGAAATACAGAAAGACGCCGCAGTCCTGCACTCTCACTCTTTCCGACCCTGTAATCATAATGAGCCCTCTTCCTCCTCCTCCTCTCCCTCCTCCTCCTCCACTTCCTCCTCCTCCTCCTCCTCTCCTCCTCCTCCTCCTGTAGTGGTTCCTACACCAAAATTCCCATCAAGAGTAATAATCTTCTGCTGCTGCTCCTCCTCCCTCCCCCTCTCCTCCTCCTCTCCCCTACCTGCACAAATCGCATGCCCAGCCTCATGCACGACGAGGCACACCAGAATCGCTGGGAGGATGTAGGCGACGTGGGCCAAGGGGAGGTTCACTCCAGGAACGAACGCCGTGACGGTGTACCTCTGACCCGACAACGGCCGGTGATCGAAGGGTTCCCTTGGGATGTCCGAGTGACAGCCAGGAGCGAAGCCAACGATCCAGACGTTGACGACAAGGTTGAGCAAGAGCAGGACGAATGAGATCAGGAGCCCCACGGCTCCAAAGATCGCCCCGATGCTGTAGAAGAGCTTCCATGGCTTCGTCCGTCCCATCCTCGAGGCCGAGCTTGCTAGCGACTGACTCCTCCTGTGCGTCCATCCATCAGACGGGTTCGAGGGATCTCAATGAAGCATACCATGAGCACGAGGATGCTACTTCGTTCAAACTTGTTGCAAGTTGCTTAATTCCGTCCATGCCAGTCGATTCATTCAGCGACTGCTTCACCTTAGCCTTGTTGATCACTGATATAACACTCCTCCACTCATAAGAGGTGCACTAGATCTATGTGATAAAAGAATGACTATCCTCTCCTCTCCCCCTCTCCTCTCCTCTCCCCCCCTCCTCTCCTCTCCCCCTCTCCCCTCCTCCCTTCTCCTGAGGGCTTTCATTGGGATCAGGATCCCGACTGCAGGGAAACATCATTTCTGCCTCGACTTTTGACATTTATTTAATGTTCATTTTGCTTCCTTTTCATAATATTTCCATTGATTTGTACCAAGGAGTTTATAGTAACAGCGGGCACCTCTATAAAGTATTGCTTCAGCGGACTTTTCGCAAAAGGCAGCGCCATGCAGAAGTGGGCTGTCGTGATGGTCGCAGCGCTGCTGCAGCTGGGACAAGTGGTTTCCTTCATCACCCAGCCCTCCTCGTCAAGCGCGCATGCTCTCCGCGTCTCCTCCTCAGCCAGAGGATGCTTCCAACGTCGCATCAGCCAGGGCTCCATGTCCTTACCTCGCTCCCGCTCCCCGTCGCTCGTTGTGAGCATGGGGCTCGGCATGGAGCATGTAGGAAGGAGAGAGGTCTTGACCGCGATGGCCTTCTTGTCCAGCAGCATCCTCTTGCCTCTGCCCTCGTACGGAGGGACTCCTGTCCGCGCTCCCCTCCCCCCTGGCCCTGCAGACCCTGCGGATTGGAAGAAACTGCAGGATACGTTTAAAGTCCTTGAGAGCCTGGAGGGGAAGATCCAAGACTCCTCGTCCTGGCCGATCGTGATACAGACTTTGTCGAAGGTGACGGTGGCCATGATCACTTTCTCCTCACGGCTGATCAGCAATGCAGGAACCGTTCACCAGGGATTCGATGGAGCTCATGTTCAAGAAGGCGGCAAAGAACTTGCCAAAGAACAATCTGTTGGGCGCCGATGCGGGAGTCTGGACTGGGTTGATGGTAGAGAGCTGTGATGCGATGGAATCGCTCCAGGTTGAGATCAACTTCCTCCAAGGTAAGCCAGGAGTTTGTTTGCTGTCAACGAAGATCTGTGATAAAGACTGTAGACGAGCTGAAAGCCGGCAAGAAACCTTCCGATGCCGGAGATCTGAAGACGTACTACAACGAAGTCAAGTCAAAGATGCAGGCAGGAGCTTTCAATCTCTCTAAATAGTCATATTTATGATTGTAAACCATTTGTTACAGGATTTTCTTGCGCTGTATGACAACAAGAAGTCAAGCAGGTAATCTTCCCTTACGGGTCGTTGAGATGGAAGGTCTTGTAAACCTCATGCAGGATGTTATTCGGTGACAAGGAATGCACGACTGAGCTCTGCAATCCTCAAGAGGATGTTCCCTTCGAGCAGTTCAAACTTTGAGCCCTCTGAGTTGGGTTCCAACCCTACACATAATTGTCCCAGTGGCTGTTTAAACAAACCGGCTGACATATTTGCCGGTATGGCCAGGAGATTGATACGGCTGAATGAACACAACATCAGCCGAGCGCTTCATGGCACATGATTCAACGTTTACCTTGTCATCATCCTCTTCCTTATTGCCTGTCCATTGAGAAAGCCAGCGGTGAGATGTGTGTAGAAAACAGCAACAGTCCAACCTCTCAGAAGTTCCGAGTGCAGCGCAATTGCGATGTACATCTCTGCTATCGAGTACACCAAATAGAATCTGCGACGCCCATCAGCATCACCGGTTATTAACATTGCACAAGTACAAAGAAAAGAAGATCTCCGTGCCCGTCCAGGCCGTCGAGCACCCGAACACTGCGCACGCGACTGTCAGCATCGACTGGGTTGTTGGCCGAAGTCCTACCGATCAAGTAGAGGATGAGAATGAGGAACTTGGCTACGAAGAAACTTCCTAGTCCTTCGGCTGCAAACAAAAGTCAGGAGGAATAGCCGAGGGTTACAGCGATCAGACGTTGAGAGTAGACGATCCCCGATACAGCAAAGCTCTGCAGGAAAACAAAATTTTCAGCTCAAAATCTCCCAGGATCTATCTGCTTCACGTACAGTGAACAGGAAGTCGCAGACTGTGAGGAGGACTAGCGACCCGACCGTCCAGGCCTGCAGCTCACAGTGACCGGAGCACAAGGCAGCCACTTCCTTGGCAGAGGCCAGTGCATGCAGATGTTTGACCCTCTAGGACGCTCCAGCTCACCGTAGAGTACGAAGGGATGAAGGCGCTCCGATAAAAAGGGTCGTCTCCCATTTGAAAGAATAAAGAGCACAGGAGGACAAACATTGCTGCCGACGAGAGAATCTGTGATTCATAGTTACACCTAGACTGAAGTTTCCGGCTCGATATCTACCTGTGCGCTGAACAAAGCTATTCCGGCATTCGCCAACGAATTCTCCCTTCCAACAGTGTCAATCGCTCAAGCTTAGTTCTCGTTTGAATGACTTACCTTTCTTCCTTCATTGTGCTCAGACAGCTGTTTTCTGATAATCGCAGGTCTTTTCCTGAAGGACGAACTGAAATTAAACCGAGCTCAAAGGGAGACGGTGTTCAATGGTCCAGGTGGGACTGAGAAAAAACTGTACCACTCCAGCTATATTCAAGTATCCTGCTCGCATTCGGAAGAAATGCCCGTCCTTTTATGCTCACTGAACATATACAATCCTATTCTTCCTCATCGATGTCTGGAATCTGCTTCTCCAACTCAACGATCACTGCTTTCTCCTCTCCGCTCCAAGTTCTCATCTGCTTCCAGTCTACGTTCTGCTCCACTTCGCTTCGACACCCTTGTTCCTTCTTCACCTCCTCGTAGATCATCTCATACTCCCTGTGTCTGGTCTTTCATTCGTCTCTCTCTCCCTCGCCCTCGGCCCCCCCCCCCTCTCCTCCTCCTCCTCCTCCTCCTTCACCCCGCCTAACTCCGTTCTTCTCGCACTGTCCCGAAGCGACATTTTGACAGCAATCGATTCAAATCATCTGAGTTAAGTGATTTAATCAGTGGGTTCCGAAGTTCCCTGCACCGTGACGCCCGGCCGCCGGCGGCCGGTACCGAATCATTGAATAGTACCGTCAGGCCCGTGCCACCCGGGCCGGTGCCACGGTGTGCCGCGCCCGGGCCGGGTCAGTGACGGTGCGTCTGGATCGGACGGCGTACGCCGGCCGGTCCGGGCCGCCGCGGCCGAGCTTCAGCGCCGGCGGCGGGTCACGGTGCGGCGCGGCCGGGCCGGGGGGGCCGCCTTTGTCAGTGACGGACATGAACCGTCGGAACTTACGGCCCGTACAGTGCCAGTACCGGGTGGGGGCACGGTACGGTCACCGCCGTGTGATGACGGACAGGCCGTTATCACCCGGAGTGACTCCGCTGGGCCGGCGGGCGGCCGCGGCCGCGGCGCCGGCTGTCTGCCTCACTGACTCTCAGACCGCGCCGCGCCGCACGCCCGGCCCCGTGTCGTCGGCCCGGCCTCTCTTACTTAGGCTCAGCGGCGTGCCTTATATTCACTGCAATCACGTGGGTCGCTGAACTTGCAATCAATATCGCTGAAGCCGCAATCAATCGTGACTGATATGTTCAACCGTTGAACTGTTCCGAAGTTCGCCGCGCCCCCAGCGGCGGACTCATCCGAGTCGGCTGGACGCCTGGCACCGGGGGGCCGCCGCGCCCGGCCGGCCCCGCGCGCGGCGACGTGACACTGCCTGAGGAGCGCGGCGGCGGCCCGGGCAGTGTGCCCGGGAGGGCCGGGCTCCGAGGCTCCGAGCCGACGTCGTACCGTACAGGCTGAGTCGCCGAGGCTGTAAGTCGCCGATCAGCGGTGGTACTTTAGGCAGTAGGCCCGGGCTACTATGATTATTTCTAATGACGATGCTGTACAAATCATTGAATCGAGTGACAAGTCTAGTAGATGCTAGTGCCGCTGGTGACGGAGATCACCGTGACATTGGGCTTGGAGTAGAGGATCGCACGACCATGGTCGGTGAGGGGCGTCCGGGAGTCGGTCTGTATCCTCAGAGTCTGCAGGCTGTTGAGGGAGGCGATGGAGCAAGCTCCTGCATCTCCGAAAGGAACGCCGACAAGGCTGATGTCCCTGAGCCGCTTGCACTTGCGCACCATGGACTGGAGGCCGACGTCCCCGAAACTGTAGCATCCGTTGAGCTCGATCTGCTGCAGCTGCTCGGGGAGGATGGTGTGCAGCTGTCTGCAGACGTTCACGCACTGGTTGAGCTTCAAGACGCGAAGGGTAGGAGGGAATTCTCCGAGAAATTTCGAGATGAGGATGTCGCTGGAGCTGATATCAAGGGTTTCAAGCTGATCGAGACGGTGAAAGGAGTTCAGGTAGTCTCCCTCCTCCTGGCAGCTCCCGAACTCCCCCTCTTGCTCGTCCACTCGCCGATCGTTATCGTCGTCGTTGTCGTCGCCCTCCTCGTCGCTCATCTCGAAGATACTCTCTTGTTCCTCCGCCCGCTTGTTCCGTTGCCCGGAAGGGAGGGACCTCGAAGCCCTTTCGCCATGATCCAAGTGAACCTTGAGCCCTCGAGCAAACAGGTGCCTGACATTGGGAGGGAGGGAAGCGAGCAGCCCGTGAAGGCTGAGCGCCTTGCACTTGGAGACGTCAATCCACTCCAGGAACAGCAAGCTCATGAGCGATGCCGCTGCCTCATCGCGCATGTCGGAATGCTTCAGGTCGAGCGTCCGCAACATGGAGAAGCCGGAGAAATCCCGAAGGTGTGCGGAGATGCCCACGAAGCGAGGAAGCTCCAACCTCTCAAGGAGAGAGAGGCTCAGCGATCTCGACTCCGCCTCCTGCCCCTTGTCGCCGACCTCTTCATGGCCAACATCCCATCCCATCAGGTTCAGGCTTGCAAGGGACGTTCCTTGATGAAAGATCTGGCGGAGGGAGGCAGAGGCATACTGGCTCTCGCAGAGGTTTAGCATCGTCAGCCCGTTCAAGAGAGAAGCGTCGATGCAGTCGTCCGGCAGCGAGCAGCGAACAAGCTGGAGGGACCGGAGGCGCTTGAGGGATAGGAGAGACCCGTGCAAGTCCCCCTGCACGCACCTCGCATCGTGTGCATGCCTCAGGTTGCATCGATCGCAAGAGCAGAAGGAGCATCGGAGGAGGTACAAGCTCTCCAGGCATGACAATGTCGACAGCATGCTGGGCTCTATTAGACACTCGGAGAGCGAGATGGAAACAAGCTTCAGCACGCTCAGCTCCCAGTACGGCATGTTGGACGTGTCGGCGATGCGGATCCCTGAGGAGGACAGCTGCAGGTCACTCAGAGACTTGAGGAGCGCGAAGGTTCTCAACATGACATTGCTGATCTTGGGGCAGAAGCGAAGGTCGAGCCTCTCGAGGGATCCAAGAGAAGCCAGCGGCTGCACGCAGGCGTCGGTCAACTTGGAGCAGCCCTGCAAGTCAAGGTAGGTCAGGCCCTTCAGCTCTGAGAGGAACTGAACGCCTGTGGTAACTTTGGGCAGGAAAGTGCACCGGAGCTCCGAGAGTCCAGCACACCTGGCCACCCACTGCATGCCGGTATTGGAGATTCGATCAGTCTGCCCGATCTCCAGCCTGGTGAGGTGGGGAAGCTGGGGGAGAAACGCTAGCCCGCTGTTGGACACTCCTGTTCCTGTTAGGATCAGGCTCTGCACGGAGAGCGATGGGGAACCTCCCGCGAAGTTCCACCGGCTCATGCAGCCCTCCATGCTCCACGAGTCGTTCCAGGAGGAGGAGGAGGGCGTAGACCCTGCGCTCTCCGAGTCTTCAGAGTTTCTTCCTTCCTGTCTGACCATCTTCTTCTTCGAAGAGCTCTTCCTCCTCCTCGGCATGGGAGAAGCCCGCCCTCCGTCTTGCTTGCTGCGCCGCCCCCCGCTTGTACTCCTTGGGAAGCTGACCAAGAGCGCGATGCCGGCATCAGTCAGCCACGGGTTGGAGGAGAGGTCCAGCGTCTTCAAGTGCATGCATGACAGCACGAACATCCAGTCGTCAGTAACGCCATGGCTGCCCAGTCCCACGGATGTGAGGGTGCACGAGGAGAACTTGAGCAAGGTCCCCAGCGACACCTGTCCCCTCTGTTGAATGGCGTACATGATCCGATCAGCGACATCCTCTGGCATGCAGCCGAAGCTCTCATACCTCTCCTCGTTCTCAGCCACTGCCAGCGCCGCGCGCCTCAGCAGCGTCTCCTCCCCTCCCATTACCACCCTGCGCTCTCCTGCATGTTCCCCGGCAAAGGGCAGGGGGCAGCAGCTGTCAATTAGAACAAATGAGCTGCTGCCGCAGGGAGAATCGAGCGCTTAAAAGAACATGCCCATGGCAAACGACCAAGGGGGGCGGGAAAGAGGAGGAAGAGGAGGAAGAGGAGGAAGAGGGGGAAGTGGAGTGATATGGCAGATAGAATCCGGTTGTAAGCAAGGGAGCTTCACTAACTATCACCTCAATCAAACAGGACCAGCAGCATGCGCCCTTCCCGGCTTTTCTTCGCTCTGTGCCTCGCTGTCCTTGCGGAAGACACTTTCTCCTTCACTTGCAGCCACCTTATTCATGATGCTTCCGTTCCGCGTCTGTCAACCAGGTCGATCCTACCTCCATTCCCCTCCCTGCCCATGACAGGAAGGTCGGCAGGCAGCACAGCAGTAGGCGAGCAGCAAGGGCTGGGATAGTGTGCTCGGCTACTTCAGCGGACGTGGAGCAGAGCTTGATGAAGCTGATCCGCCAAACGAGAGGCCGAGGACAGCGAGCAACCCAAGAGCAGCTGCAGGTAGGTGAGGGACTGACCCGCTGGTCGACGCTCGAGAGGAGGGGGGGGGGGGGGGATGCGTGCTGATGGCGTGTGCAGGAAATCCAATCCGCGATCGACAACCTGGAGGAGGCAGGAGGGGTAGCGGACCCAGCTGTATCGTCTCTGATAGAGGGAGATTGGGAGCTGCTGTACACCTCCAAGTCCAAGTTCGACCTCCGAAATCCTCTAGGTGCACCTCGGCCATGGCGCTGCGAGCTCTCCTCTGATACAACACCATCCCAGGAAAGCGCGTGGACGGGACGAAGCCTGGCCTCGAGGGAGTTCTGTCAAGCATCTTGGGAGAGGACAGCAAGGTCTCCGAGATGATAACACAAGCATCCTCCTCCTCTCCTATCCAGGTGAGCGCTCGATAGACCGAGATCGCGGCTGAGGGCATCGGGGTCCAGAGGACAGTAACATCGATTGAAGGCATCACGATCACTCAGAACATTCGGCTTCAGGTCTCAGCTTGCAAACTCTCTCAACAGTCTTGTCTCTGATCACACTGCCGCAGGGTCAAGATCCTCGTGTGGATCAATATGTTCGCTTCGGGAGCGGAGAGAACCTCTATCTCAGACTGAGGTACCACTACTCCCTCCAACCTTGTCTCTGACTTGAAGCTGCTCCAGTGCCGCCGCAACCGTCGACAGGGCGACCAGCAAGGTGCAACTCGTTCTCTTCTTTCGACATGGCGTGAACGATCAAATCGTCTTTCTTTCCACAGAGAATCTCTTTCACTTTCGATCTAGCATACTTCCAGGTGAGCTGTGCATTGCTATCAGGCCTTCCCCTGAGCTTGTTTCTCACAGCTCGGACCTCTCCGCATCCCATATCCTGTATTACGTGTTTCACCCTGTTCGCCATTCACGTTCATGATCTGCAGGTTCCTTTTCGGCTGTTGGGCGACGAGGCGAAAGGATGGCTCGATACGACTTTCCTTTCGCAAAATTTGAGAATGTCCGGCTGACTCATACCCTGTCGTTTTCTCCTGTTTTGTTCTAACCACTGCATCATGCAGCTCGCGTGGAAACAAAGGAACGACGTTCATCCTGCGGCGAGTCGACAATGTTTGATGAGGGTAGAAACGGCAATGAAAAAAACAACGAATGAAGGCTTTCGGGCAAAGGGTAAAACAGAAGTCGTGAAGCTTTATCCAGCCATGTTCCTTCAATCAAGATGCTACCATCACACTTCCTCACTTTCTGTCTGTCCTCTGCCCCCTCTCCCCTCCCTCCCCTCCCTCCCCTCCCTCCCCTCCCTCCCCTCCCTCCCCTCCCTCCCCTCCCTCCCCTCCCTCCCCCTCCCTCCCCCTCCCTCCCCCTCCCCTCCCCCTCCCTCCCCTCGCAATGTAAAAATCGACGTCAGAGCAAAATTTGAGCACTGTGGTTTCGGTTTTACTACCCCACCCCTCACTATTCCAATTACCCCGACACAATACTATTCCGACACCCCTTCTAAGTACATACAATGACCCCACCATTATCCTCGATCTCGACAGCAGCGCCCCGATATTCTTCACAGGGTAGGGTAGGGTAGCCGGTAGCGGCTTCCCGCCATTCCGTTGGCATGAGTGGAGAGGAGAGGAGGGGGAGAGGAGAGGAAGACAAGAGGCGTAGGGAGGAGAGAAGGAGGAGAAGCATGTTGGTGTCCTATCATGGAGGGGGACTTTTGAGAGCAGGGCTGGAGTACAGCACCGAAGACACGCAGGATGAAAGGGCTGAAGGGACGGCAGAGCCAGGGACGACCCAGATTGAAAGTAGTTGGGCGCTAGGGCCCGAAAAGAAGGCTTCAGATCTTGAAGGGAGATGTAGCTTTGTGAAAACAAGTCATAGTCATGTCTTGAAAGTGGTGGACGCTCAGGAGGTCGTTTGAGGGCTCAGGGAGAGCGGTGGAGCAATCGAAGTGGAAACGAGGACCATGAGGGTGTAGTGGGAGGAACACGGGACGAGCGATAGCAAGCTTTCCTGAATCTCGCTGATGTTTGCGGAAGGATGGCGACTTCATCTGCTATGCTTGATCGGAACGCAGCGCCTCCTTCCACATTCGAGCTTCATGTGACAGGCCAGGTGATGGGAACAGTTGTATTCTGCGGAAGCATTGACCGTTGAGCAGGTGGAAAGTGGATCCTTCGCAGGAGACGACAACCTTTATTGCAACATCCTCGTTCACCATGGCATTGATTGGCAGGTCCTACCATGTCACAGCCTGTCGTTCTGGTGTGATGGTACCCGCAGGTGGTTGCTGGGATGGAGGAAGGGGTCACCCAGGTTCATCGTTCTGCTAGCACAATGTGAAAGCTGAACACCAGCGCAATAGGTGGCTTCCATCTCCCCAGGAAGCGATTCCAGAGTTGTGTGGAACTTTCCTCTAGGTCGAGAGTTGTGTACCCTTGGGTTCAGCGGCCTGACACTCCGAGTCAGAACTCACTTTCAAGAGCACGAATGTTTATGGCTGGCCACAGATCGTGTTGACAGTGCATGGGACGGACTTCTTGTAACTCTGATGACCTTGCTGGTGCTGTGCATGTTCTCACATGCCATCAGGAATCGTGACGTCATTCGCGGCTATGGCTCCGTACACATCCCTGTAGTGCCTGGCGCACACGAGGTTGAAGTCCCGATGTTCCGCCCGCTCTCGGTCGGCCGTTTGCCTCGAGCCATGGCTCAGATGCTAACTTGCCTGCCTCAGTCTTCTCTGCTCCAACAGTTCATCGGATGGATCCACGCTACCCCAGCAGGTTCAGCCAGAGATGTTTTGCATTCTTGCCCCAGCTACGTGACAGCAGTTGTTGTAGAATACATCGATCCGAAGAGGCCTGCTCTGCCAACTGGCAGGTATGTCTGTCGACCTGCTACACTTGGGACGAAAGGCAGCTGAGGGACGTTTCCTAGAGAGGTGACCCGCGTGCGAACGAGTGGAACCGTGGTTTTGAAGTTGAATGTGGTATGCCCCTCGACAGTGTGATGCTACTTCAGTTGAAGGATGCACAGGTGGTGAGGAATATGAAACAGCTAGGTTACAGCATTCCCGTCTCGTCAAACCTGAAGGTTTATCAATAATGTTTTCAAGGCAGCAAGATTCGCGCGCATCCTGCTTCCATGACATGTAAATCTACTGATGGATAGTGAAATGTATAGCATTCAAAAAATATGTGATCCCCTAGGTTGGTGTGAAGGATGACTAAGAGTCAACGCATATTTTTGTTTTCTTTTTTTGGAATCGTCCTCGACAAATAAACTACTAGCCGAAAGCTGTTAGAATTACAGCGAAGTTCACACCACAGAACTTCAACGTTATCTTGCTATGAACTCACTACTGAGAGGTCGAGGCAGCACAAAACTCGTTGATCTTCTTCATGATCACCTCAAGGATGGTGATAGCTCGATCCGCTGGGGGTGCGACGATGACATACTCGGCATGTTCGTTCTTATAGTTCTCCGACGCGTCCTTCTTCTTTCCGTTCAAAGCTTGGCGCTTGAGGTCCTGGGCAGCAGCTGATTCCTGCGCCTTGTCTGCTGCATTGGAGAGATCGACAACTTGCGTTTCGTAGTCTACAAGCTTCTTCTTGTGCTTCTCAAGCTCTTCCTGAGTCTGTTTGAGCGCGGAACTGATCACTTCCTCACGTGTATTGAGGTCGCTGATCATGCCAGACAGAAGCTTCTTCACTTCGTCTGTCTCTGCATAGTTGGCAAGCTTGGACTCAAGCTGGTTGACAAGTTGAAGCTTGATGGCTCCGCCGTTGACCGCCTCTTGCCTGAGCAGTGAAATCTTCGACTTGATCTCTTTCAGGGTGAGAGGATGAGCCTTCTCGGACGCCATGTACCCTCCTGCATTTGCAGTAGCTGAATCTAGCGGCTCGCTGCCAAGTACACCAAATAGGCGAAGAATCTCCTGGATCAGAGACCTCTGAGAGTTGATGTCTGCCATCTCCTTGTCGTAATTCGTTTGCATCGTAGCAAGACGTTCACTGGTACGCTTCACCGTTTCAGCCCACTTCTCATACTCAGCACGAGCGTATGAAGCTCCATCCAGAGCTTCCTTCTTCTTCTCTTCCTCCAGGCGGTATTCAGATTCAGAATCAAGCCATGCCTCGGTAGCTGCGACTTGAGCATCATGTGCAGTTTGATCGGTCTCGTTTCTCGTCTTAGACTCTTTGGAGAGTTTTGCGAGGAGCTGGCTGAACTTGCTGAAGATGATGTCCTTCTTCTCGCAAAGTTTTCCCGATTCCTCCAGAGCGGTCTCGATGTTCTTTGGCACCATTGCAAGCATGAGACCTCTGCTGACGTCCGCATCTAAGTTGGAAACCATATGATCTTGCCAATGCTTCAAAATGAGCTCCATCGACTGGACGGATGAGTGAGGAGCTGCTCGGATGAGCTGTGTTGCAAGCTTAACATCATGCGCCCTTGCAAGCGAGGTTGTCTGACTTCTTTTCATCGTCAGGAAGTTGACACGGCCGACACTCTTGCCGGACGGAGAAGAGACGAGAAGAGCAGCAGCACAGATAGCGACTGCAAGGAGCACGGCAGCTACAGCTGCTCTCCTCCTCTTGGAGGATGAAGAGGCAGTAGCGGGTGCTTGCCGCTCGACATAGCAAACAAACTCTGCAGGAACAGCCATTACGCGTGTCCCGGCTCTGCCGGAAATAGATTTCAGTTACGCGCTTAATGGGGAGGTCAAGGATCCGTTACCACATTGGTCAGTGAAGAAACGACCGAATAACCGCCACTCAGTGACGACTCAAGTCGGATTCTTTTACTCAAAGTCGGATCGGATGTATAGCAAAACGTATAAAAGGATTTTTGAGATATGGTTTTAAAAACTTATAGGCTATCTCAGCCATTTCTGTACTGCTGCTTACATTCTACTACACTTTATGATAAAATACGTTTTAGGTATCACCAGGCTTTGTTCCGACTCCGCCGTTCGGAATTTGATTTGAAATGTTGCTACGAAACAGTCAAATTTTCCACAGAATTTCGAATGTTCACTAACAGATACCCCCAAAAGTTTCACCTCCATTTCCACGGAGGGGTGGGGTACCGAAACAGCTATAGAAGCGGATTTTAGGAAATTTCGAGGTCATAGGTCCAATAGGCGGGAGTACCACCCCGTAGTTCCCTTACTGGTGCTGCGGGGCACTCTGCCGTATCAACAGGGGTATTCGAAGATATTTCATTTGGGGGTAGGGTCCATGAATTGCTGATGTTTGTTGATATCACAGCACCCGTCCTTTTCAGCATGATTTGCGTGGTGGTAACCAAATTTGTCGACTTTTTTAGGACGGGTGGTTGGACCGCTCGCTGCCTCCTGTTGACTCTTTGGGAGGGGTACAACAACAGTGCTTATTGGTAAATTAGGGTTGAATTATACCTACAAGGAGGGGTAGGGTCGCGGAAAATGAGCTCGGTACATTTCTGGTAATAGGACATGGGTGGGGTGATATTAAAAGGATATTTAAAGCTTGTTTTACTACACTAGCCCACAGAGTGAGGACTCTGAAATCATGTATTTCCGTGTTTGGAGGTTTATCATCCCATCATAAAACTGTTTTAATGATTTTTTTTGTACCATGGGCCCTGCCAGATTTTTTTTCCCAACTGTTGCAAATTCGGTGAAGGTGGTGTTCTAATCCACTAATTTGAAATATTCTCCTTCAATATTGAATATTTTTATTGAGATGTTCATTATTCAATCAAATCATTGTAATTACCACCCTACACAGATAATTAAAAAGCTATGGACCTGATCGCGACGAGAAGCGCGGTGGGACAGACATGCTTTCTGAGGACCAGCACGTGATGCATTGAGAGAAAGTGCGCAGGGGAGGCTGATTGTAGAAAGAAACACGTTGTAATGACACACTAGTGTGCACTTGTTTAGAACGCAGAGATTGGAATTTGCTTCTGTGATCAATCTCATACGGGTCAGAACGATTGATTGGTACGTTTGTGTTCATACGAACACCTACCACGGCAAGTGCCGTGTTTCCATACCAGGTCCCGATTTGTTCTTTGCTTTATGTAGTGTCATGGCATATGAATTATCCTTCGGAACATTAAATCCGTTCTAATGGATGTTTGGTTATAGATTCTGGACTAGGAATGGGAAAAGTTGCTGTTACACATTTTTGGGCCCGCTGAAAATTCTTGAGGTGAGGAAAACCCCCGATCGTATCTATCAGCACTTACATGTCTTAGCTATGACAAACTCTCGCGTCAAGGTCTACAAACGGGCTGATCTGGAGGTGAATGCACATCCCCTAACTCGAAACGTCCCCAATATTGAGACATGCTTCAGGTGGCTGAAAGGATCGGAAAAGGAGCCTACGGAAGTGTATGGCAGGCAACGATCCTCAACAACAAGCAAGATGTAGTCGTTAAAGTAGTATACCCAGATCAAGATCTCGACCCCGAAGTGGTGAGTGTAAGGTTTTTGCAGGCAATGGAAATGACATTGCATGAATGAAACAGAGCAAAGACAAACGGCCATCGGAGAATATGCTGGAGTCTTTTCGTCGCGAGATCGAGATCATGTCGTCTCTTCCAGCGCATCCGAATGTCGTCAGCTTGATTGGTGTCACATCGGACAAGAGGGTTCTGATCTTGGAGGAGGCAATGGTGGACCTCCATGTCATGATCAAACGACAGAGCTGTGGCCTCCCGCTTTCAGTAGTTCAGCGGTGGACCAAGGGAATCTTGCAGGGCTTGGATTTCTTGCACAATGAGAAAGTTGTGCACAGAGGTGATTCTATTACAAATTCCTTGTACCTTCTTGATGATGACTTGCTTGGTACAGATCTCAAACCATCAAACATCCTTGTATTCTTTGACATGTCGATCAAGATAGGAGACTTCGGTCTTTCACGATACTTGACAGAGCCCAAACTTCCTGTCCGTCGTGAAATTTCCACCCTGTTAGTTGTACACAATTTCATGGTTTGGTTCTGAGAATTGGACAGGTGGTATCGCGCACCTGAGCTAATCATGGGTACCTCCATGTACTGTTCCAAGATTGATTTGTGGTCGATTGGGTGTGTCGTATTGGAAATGCTGTTGGGCAGATGTGCTTTTCCTGGCAAGATAGAAGATGTTTGCAAATGCCCAAAGAGTTCTCATTTCAACTACAACGGGGATCAGCTGCTGCGAATCTTCCAGCTGATTGGAACTCCTCAAGACAAGGACTTCCTTTCGAAGATGAACTGTTGCACCCACTTTGAGCAGTGGCCGAGCTATCCTTACCGACTTGATTCAATGGTGAAATCGCACTGCTCTCCCCTTCCCCGTGTCCTGACCAGATTTCTCCAGGTCAAGGGTTGCTGCGTCACAAACAAGTTCCAGTCCGAAAGGTTAAAGGACATGTCGAACCATTCTTGGAAAGAAATTTCTGCCTCTGCTGATCAGTGGACGAAGTTCCTCAATGGTCTGTTATCAGCGGATCCCAAGAATCGTTGGAGTGCAGCGGAGTGTCTGAATGCTCCCTTGATGTCTTTCGACGAAAGTGAATTAGAAGGCTTCGATACTCACAGTGTGGATAGTGCGAACAGAAAAGCTCTTGCGGATCAGGACCATAATGCCGGATTTGCTCGCATGCCATCGAAAGGAAAGCGGATACACCTGCCTGCCAAGAAGGTCGCGTTACAGCCCCTATTCAACGGCTCGGCTGAGCGATCAGCGCGTCAAATACAGGAGAACCCACTGATGAAGTACAGGGTTCTGCTGCGCAGGAGTTCGGCACCTGCCCACAACTTCCAACTAGAAGAGACGGAATCAGAAATGTCGGGCCAGAAAAAGATCCGACAATCTGCGCTGTTCCCACGAAGCCATACGAAGCAGGGCAGGTGAGCTCATGCCACTTTGATGTTACGATCATATTGTGACTCCCGGCCTGCAGCTTGGTCAGGTATGCCTCCTCGGGTTACATGCCGCAGATCAAGAACTCTTCAAGAGGACAATAACTCGGGACCGTCGGACCAGCGGTGGCCGCAAGTTGGTGAATCAACCGTGAACACTGACGGTGGGCTCGGGCCAGTGGCCAAACCCGATGGGTTGAAAACCTTTCGCAAGGCAACCAATAAGATCGATGTAAATTATCGCGAGCACTGTTAAGTTAGCGACCTGTGTAACTGTGACTTAAGTTGTAGCCTAAGTAAACTCTCAGCACCTCAATTCCTGACCGGGCCCACAGTACCTCAGCTGCCCGGCCGCCCGCCGGGTGCGGCCTCACTGTCCGATGGTCACGGGCCGCGAGTCACTGGCAGGCCCACCGTCCGTCTCAGAGTCACCCCCGGCGCCGTCACGGGTGCCCCGGCGCGCTGATGAGTCCGATCCTGACTCGTGTGATCGGAGTAAAGCCGGGTGACTGGATCAACCACGGTAAGTCACTCAGTGGCAACTGCAACCCGGGCCGCCCGGCGGCCGCCCGGCGCCGGGGGCCGGCGGCCTTCCCGGTCCGAACTTCGGAAGCCGGGTCCGGGGAGTCCGAACTGGGTCCGAAGCAGGGTCCGAAGTTCATTTGAGCGGTATGAGGGTGATGAGATTCAACGGCTGCTTATTCGCTCTTGGGTTGATGGCGAAGGTGCGGGGTAGTGAGGGCGAGAGGAGACGAGGAGAAGGGAAGCAGACTGACCTTGCAGTATCATACCTGTCTTTCTGATCAGACCTCCCACTGCTGTTCCTTGACGCTCCTTCCCTCGGGCTCGTTAGCAAGCAAGTTGCAGGGAGTTCGTTGCAGTCATGGCTAGTAACGTCTTGGCTGGGGAGAACCCTGATCAGGCCATGCATGCTCGGCGATCGAAGAGAGAGTATGGCAGAGAGCTCCTGATGCAGATGGAAGCTGACCGACAGAGGCGATCGAACGAAGCAGCGTTCATTAGCAACCCCTCTGAACCAAATGCAAGGAAAAGAAATGCCGCTGAAGAATTCGTTCTACCCGAGATCCAGAAGTCAGCTCCTGCTGCTCCCCCCCAAGAAAGGAACAAGAGAGCGGAAGCAAGGCCGCGATCACGGCAGCGCGAGAGCAAGGAAAGGCGAGAAATTCCAACCCCCCCCATGCGCGGAGAGGAGCAGCACGGGCAGAGGGCACAAGTGCAAAACATTCTGGAGATGGAGGTGAACAAGATGAAGATGAATGGAAAGATGAACTTGTTGTGATGTACAGAGTCATGGTCAAACATGATGATGGTGATGGTGATGGTGATGGTGATGGTGATCTTGTAAGGGAATGACGGTGGTGGATGTTTGTTGTCGTTGGTTAGAATGTAGGATGTTTTCCTTCATGCCTTGTTGCGTTTCCTAGCGGAAGGACGAATAAAATTCTGTCAGGCGCAAGAGCTCCTGCTCGGACTCTATGGAAAAGTTTCAGCGATGGAAAACGATCTCAGGTTATCTTGCTCTTCCCCCTCCTCCTTCGTCTATCCCTGCTCCTTGTTTCCCCCTCCTGCCTCCTTTCCCTCTGTGCTCACATGGTACTGTTACAGCTCAGCAGCTAGGGATAACTCACAACTGAGGGAGAGGATGATGGTAAGATGATGATGATGATGATGATGATGATGATGATGATGATGATGATGATGAATTCGCTATATAACTACAGGGATAATCATTAGTTGAGGAGGAGGAGGAGGAGGAGGAGGAGGAGGAGGAGGAGGAGGAGTGTAGCTGTGTTGTTGTATGCGGCGGCGATGATAATCTAGATGACGGTGATGATTCAATAGGCTCTGGAGATCGAGAATGCGTCGTTGAGGGCGGACAGCAAGATGCTTGCTCCTCATGAGAAGCTTCTGCAGCTTGAGCGGGACATCGCGCACAAGCTTCATTCTCACCTGGAGCAAGTGGCATCGATCGATTCGGAGAGAGCAGCGTCGGCCCTGCGGAAGGTGAGGAGAGGGAGGGGAGGGAGGGAGGGGAGGGAGGGAGGGGGAGGGAGGGGAGGAGGGAGGAGAGGGAGGGAGGGGAGGGAGGAGGAGCGCGGGGAGAGAGCGTGCAAAAGGATAAGGATCAGGGGAAGAAGAGGGAAGTGCCAAGAGGAGGGAGGTGGGGGTTGGAAGGATATGAGGGGTGGAGCGGTACTGGAGGAGGGGTGGAGGGGTGGGAGCATGACTGCAGGACGGCAGATGAACGAGCTTCAGCTGGCGGCAGAGCAGGAGAGGCGACAGGCGGAGATGATGAGAGACACGTTGGAGCAGCAGAATTTGCTGATGAACGCGATGGAGAAGCGACTGCATGCGGTGGAGACAGCAGAGGCATCGATTCTCCAGCATGTAAGATGGAGACTGAGTTGTGTGATGGTGATGGTGTCGGAGGTGGTGGGATAATATTTGAGACTGTGCGAATGATGGTGAAGGAGGTGGTTTCGATGAAGATGAAGCCGGAGGAGGAGGTCGAGGGAAAAAAGGAGCAGGAGCAGGAGCAGGAGCAGGAGCAGGAGCAGGAGCAGGAGCAGGAGCAGGAGCAGGAGCAGGGGTGAGAGGGGTTTGGAGGAGGAGAATTTGAGTCATGATACACTGATGGAGACGATGATCAAGATGTGGAGGGGGGCATGACGTAGGTGGTTCCCCTCATGATGTCTGGGCAGGGAGCGTCTCAGGTCCAGTACCACGTGACGCACAGGAGGGAGATGGAGGTGAAGCTGCTGGAGCTAGAGCAGGCCATCCGTGTGATGAGGAGCGCGGGGGAGGAGGCGAACAAGGGGACGGAGGAGGCGGTCAGGGAGATGCTTGCGAGCAACCATCACACCCTGCAGGAGAGGATGAGGCAGACGCTGCATGCCCTCCAGCTCGACCTCAACAGCGTCCAGCAGGAGATGGAGGAGAGGGACTCATCGCTGCTTGTCAAGAACCAGGTCCTCCTCCTCGCCTTCCACTTCGTCCTTCTCCCTTCAACCCTGTCCTAACGCCCTCGCCTCTCTCCTCTCCTCACCTTCCCTCCTCTCCTTGTCACACTCTCCTGAGGCTGATTTGCGTTGATCAGGCGGAAGGGAACGCACGGGAGCAGCAGCAGCAGCTAGTGAGGAAAGAGACAGAGGCCAGGCTGACAGACTTGCACTCGAGGATGAACGAGCTGATCCGAACGGTGGAGCAGAGCGAGCGAACGACGATGCAGCGACTGGAGGAGATGAGCGCGAGGACGGAGGAAGCGGTCAGGAGGCTGGAGGTTACAGCCGGGGAGCAGGAGGAGCACAATAGTAGGACGATGAAGCAGGTGAGGCTAGAGCTGCGGCGGCTGTCGGAGGAGGCGACAGAGGGCTGGGCAAAGTCCAGCTCCTACCTGGAGGAGGTGGTCCGCGCGGAAATTCGAGGGAGGATGAAGGGGCAGGAGGAGCTGGGGCAGAGGCTCGCGTTTCTGGAGGCAGAGGCAGGGAAGGAGGGGAGGAGGGAGGAGGGCGGGGAGGAGACGGCGACAGCAGCGAGCTTGAAGCTGCTGCAGGCTAAGAGCAACTCGCACTCGAAGAGCATCAAGAGCATCCTCGCTGACCTCACGCAGGAGGTGAAGCAGCGGGAGGAGGCGGAGCAGGAGGCGTCGAGGAGGATGGTGGCTGTGGAGGAGGAGGTGGACGAACTGAGGATGATGGTGAGGAGGGGAGCTATGTCCGGCATGCAGGAAGGGAGGGACTTGCTGGAGGTGATGGACAACAGGGTGAAGGCGCTGGAGAACGGGAGGGACGAGCTGGTGAGGAGAGTGCAGTCGGAGCTGGAGGGTAGGAGAGGAGCGGAGCAAGAGAGGTGGAGGGAGGTTGGGGGGAGGATCGACACGGCTGCAGCGAGCGCTTGACGCTTGCGTGGACCTTTGCGAGAGCGACACGCGGGAGCTGCACGAGGAGATGGGGAGGATGGAGCAGAGGATTGAGAAAGAGACGAGCGAGCTGGAGGGGATCATAGAGAGGACGACAAGGGATATGATCA